GTGTCATATCTGCAGGCTTCCTGACCCTGCTCACCACATCATGTATCTGCAGGTAGTGTGTCTATTAGTCGTGGGCCTTCCATAGCCTCCCTGTGAGCCATTGGTGGCTGGGTTCTTCAGGTTCACGTTGTAAAGGTTTTGTGGTGTTTCATCAGTTATTATTTCTCTAGCCTGTAGTGTTTGGAGAAGAGATTTCACAATTATGTAGAATTCATTTTATAGAATTGATTGATTCATTTAAAAGGCAGAGTAAGAGAGGGAGAGGCATCTTCCACCTACTGCTTCACTTCCTAGATGTGAACAAGAGCCTGAACTGCATACACCAAAGCCCTGGAGGAGTGGGAGGGCTTGCAGTAGAACATGTGCCGGAACAACATCTGGTAGTGGGTCAGTGCAGCATTGTCCACTGTGGGGGGAGCAGCTGCCACACTCAACCTACCAACTGGTGTGACCAGTACAGACAGCTCACATGTCCCCTGGGTCACACACTGAGGTCACACAACCACTGTGCCAGAGTCTCGGACACTCTCCAACTCTCCAGTGTTGAGCATTCTTTTTTTTTTTTTTTTTTTTTATTGCAAAGGCGGATATATAGAGAGGAGAGACAGAGAGGAAGGTCTTCTGTCCGATGATTCACTCCGCAAGTGAGCGCAATGGCCGATGCTATGCCGGTCTGAAGCCAGGAGCCTCTTCCGGGTCTCCCATGAGGGTGCAGGGTCCCAAAGCTTTGGGCCGTCCTCGACTGCTTTCCCAGGCCACAGGCAGGGAGCTGGATGGGAAGTGGGGCTGCCAGGATTAGAACCGGCGCCCATATGGGATCCCAGGCATTCAAGGAGAGGACCTTAGCCACTGCGCCACCGTGCCAGGCCCCAGTGTTGAGCATTCTTTAAGATTGTCCAGTACCACTGCCTGCTCTAGGAGCCTGCGTTTCTGGCTCAACTCTATCTTGCTGGTCTTCTAGGGTGCTTTGTGCATTGGGTACTTTCGTTTTCCGTATTGTCGCTCTTTGGAGCCATCTGCAGAATGTCCCCTGTGTCTCTGGTGGTCTCCCCATGGCTAACATCTGTGTGGTCATTACTGAGTGCAGGATGCCATCATTGTCCTGCACCTGTGCTCACTGGCGCACAGGTGTCCGGCTGTGGGGGCTGAGGTTTTTTTCACTGCGTTGTGTTCACTCAGTGTCTGAGCTTTGCTTGGATTGCAAGCATGCCAGCACACGTGGGTCAGAGGGACATGCAGGTCAGAAGCATGCATGGGTCTGAGCCAAGCCAGGTCTAGCTCTCATGCTGCGACTACTATAGGTCTGGCCTCTGAAGGGTCGGTGCCACCTTTTGTTTCCCTCAGATCGACCTAATGCCTCATGACCTGGTCACCCAGCTGCTCCGGGTGCTGGCGATCGAGACCAGGCAAGAGAAGGCCATGGCCCACGTGGACCCCACTGAGCTCACCCTTAGTGGGCTCGAGGCTTTCTCCTTTGACTACATCGTCAAGTGGCCACTGTCGCTCATCATCAGCAGGTGAGGGCCAGCCACGGGACCTGAAGATGCTTGTATGGTGGCCAGGTTGCAGCACAGGCCCCGTCTGTCTCCCCAGGAAGGCACTGACTCGCTACCAGATGCTGTTCCGGCACATGTTCTACTGCAAGCACGTGGAGCGTCAGCTCTGCAACGTGTGGATCAGCAACAAGACCGCCAAGCAGCACGCGTTGACCTCAGCCCGCTGGTAAGCCCCCTGGCCGCCCCACTGGGGCTTCCATGTGGGGGCAGCCCCCACAAGGAGCATGCTGACCTGGTGTGGCAGCCTACAACTGCACTGTTCCCTGCCTTTGCGTACGCCCATGTGGCCATGTGCCACGGCACCAGGGAAATCTGGGGATCATGCACACTGGAGGTGTGCCCTACGTGTGGCCTACAAGTGTCCATGGCCAGCCTGGCGGGTGCCGTCCTGCAGGCGTCAGGCCTGCTGCTGTCAGGTGTGCCTAGACTGGAAGCACATCTGGGCATCCGTAGGCAGGAGCAGCTGCTGACCCCAGTGCGTGCCCAGGTTCGCCAGTGCCTTCACGCTGCGCCAGCGCATGCTCAACTTCGTGCAGAATATCCAGTACTACATGATGTTCGAGGTCATGGAGCCCACCTGGCACGTTCTGGAGAAGAACCTGAAATCTGTGAGTTGGCAGTGGGCCTAGCATGACCAGGGCTGGGGCGTCCATTGTCTCCCAGCCTAGTCCTGTGGTCTGCCAAGTACCAGGGAGAGGGAGAGGCACAGAGGTGGAGGAGGGCATGGGAAAAAGGCAGAGAGGACGTGGAATGGGGGGAGGGAGGCACTGAGAAGGGTGGCTAGAGCCCGGGGAACAGGCCCAGCCCTCCATCCACAGGCCTGCAACATTGATGACGTCCTGGGCCACCACACAAGCTTCCTGGACACGTGCCTGAAGGACTGCATGCTGACCAACCCCGAGCTACTGAAGGTCTTCTCCAAGCTCATGTCGGTGTGCGTCATGTTCACCAACTGTATGCAGGTGTGCCGGCTGTCCCCTTGCTGCCCTTCCTCTGCCCAGGAGGGCTTCCTGGGCCTACCTGGCCATCCCCAGTGTTGTCCTGGGCCTGGTCAGAGCACAGTGATGACTCCCTCAGCATTTTGGGGCCCTCATCACAGCAGTTGCCCAAAGACAGGGTCAAGTGGCAGGGGTAACTTGGGCTCTTGTAGGGGTGGGGTGCGGGTGCTGGAACCCCCCAGGCCCAGAGCCTGGCGGGACCCCAGAAGCCATGAGTTTGGGGAAGTTGTTTCCTACAGAGTCCATGGCTGTGCTGATGAGCACCATCCCCAAACCCCAGAAGTTCACACAGAGCCTGAAACTGGACAGCGAGCTGGGCCGGCTTACGCTGGAGCATGGCACCATGCTGGGGCCGCCCACAGAAGCCGAGCGGGCCGAGGAACGCAGCCGGAAGGAGTCTGCCAGGAGGGTACGTACCCTCAGCTATCCTCAATCCTGTCCCCGTGGCCATGCTGGGGTCAGCGTCATGGTTTTTATCTCCTCCTCCCTCTGACAGCAGGAAGGATGAGGGACAAGGTCACAGTATGGGTGAAGGTGTGGCCATGCTCATTAGCAGGGATCAGCAGGTGTAGATGGGCATGGTGGGCTCAGAGTCTGGCAGGAAAGACTTGCCCTGCGGTGCTACACGGCTCAGGTGGGGTTCCCGCGGTGGCTTGTCCCAGTGCCCTGGTCTCAGGGAGTTTGTGTCTCATGAGGTCATCTGGACAATCCGTTCAGAAGAAAGGCAGTGGGGTGCAGGGTGCAGGCCATTCTGTCATGTGGAAGTCACGTGTGCGACCCAGCTGTGCTCCCGGGCTGCAGTGGTTGGGTCCCTGCTGCTGCGTCAGACAAGAACAGCGTTTGCCCTTCCTGACTCCGTTCTCGCCCAGCCTCAGCTATTGGGACCATCTAGGGAGTAAACCAGCAGTGGCAGAAGCCCGTGTGTTTCAAATAAGGGGAAGTATCGTGGAAAGAAGAAGGAAACAAAGGCCAGGCCTGGGGCAGGCGCTGTGACCTAGCAGGAGAGGCTGTGGTGTTGGTATCCTATGCGTGCCAGTTCAGGTCCCTTCTGCTCCACTTCCCCTTCAACTGTCTGCCTGTGGTCTGGGAATACAGCAGAGAATGGCCCAAGTGCTTGGTCCCTGTGTAGCCCGGAGGGAGACCTGGAAGGGGCCTGCTCCTTGTGAGGAGTTGTGGGGACAGTGCTCACTGCGCCCACATTGAACCCCCAATGAGGCGGCTAGGGGTACTCAACACCAGTGGGCTGAGATCAGCACATGCTGCTTGGAAGCCTTGTTGCAGAGCTGGCATGGGCCTGTTCCAGCCCTGACCATGACAGTCAACCAGCGGGTGAAAGCTCTTTCTCCCTCATTCTGCCTTTCAAATACATAAGTCTTTAAAAGCAACAACAAAAACAGACTCTTCAGGGAGCTGTGGTGGCACAGGGTGTGTGCTTACCTGCTCTTCTGTGTGTCCCAGCACCTGACTGAGCACATGGACACACCTCAGCTGGCCTCTGGCTTCGAGGCTGCTATCAGCAGCTTTGACAAGAACTTCTCTGCTCACCTGCTGGACCTGCTGGCCCGACTGAGCATCTATAGCACTAGCGACTGTGAGCACGGCATGGCCAGTGTCATCTCCAGGTAGGTGGGGTAGAGACCAGACTGGGCAGGCTGCTGTCCCTGGAGGGCGATTGGAGCCCCCCCCCCCCCCCCCACCGTAACTGGGCTGGGAGCATGGATGCTGCTGAGCAGCTGGGAAGGGCCAGCTCTGTTACTTCCAAGAGCACAGTCCTGGCTGCTCCACTTCCACTCCTGCTCCCTGCCAGTGCACCTAGGAAGATAGCCGGTGACAGCCCACGTGCCAGAGCCCCTGCACCCTCATGGGAGACCCTCATGGTCTCTTGGCCTGGCCTAGCTGCTGGTCATTCGGAATGTCAACCAGAGGATGGATAGATTGCATTTTGTGTGTCTGCCTTTGGAACTAAGTGAGGGCCGCGTCACTGTGCAAATGGCCAACGGCACACCTTGTCAGAATGGTGACCAGTGTGGCCTCCTTAAGCAGTCTAAGGGCGGCCCTCTCCCTCTCACAGGCTGGACTTCAACGGCTTCTACGCGGAGCGCCTGGAGCGCCTGTCTGCAGAGAGGAGCCAGAGGGCAGCACCACCTGTGCCTGGCCCCCGAGGACCCTCAGCAGCAGTGCCCAGGGTGGCGGTCACTGCACAGTGAGCCTCAGCCCAGGAAGGAAGTCCACGGGCCAGCAGGTGCCATTGGCCTGCCCATGTGGATGTATTGCAACAGCCATCAGCACTGGGCTCTCTGTTTTCTCCAGCTGCCCTGCTCTGAATAAAGACTCACACTGCTGTGTCCACATAAAGACTCACACACCTGGCTCTGCAGGACTCTGATGCGGCCAGCTTCCCATCTACACCCAGATCTTCAACTGGGGTTCCTTGGCTGCTCAGTCACTCCAATACTCCTCTACTTCTCAGTTCCCTAATCCTGTGGTAGCCACACCACCAGCCATGGCAACACCCCTTCCTGTACCACTTGCAAAACCCAGCCCAACCCCCACCTGGTGGCCTCTTGGGTGGGGCTGGGCTGTCTGTGTAGTCCTGGGTCTGTAGACCTGGAGTAAACAGGTTTCTACATGGTGTTGTGCAGAGGGGTATGAGCAGAGGGGGACCTCAGCCAGGAGGTGCTGGAATGAGTGACCCCCCGCCAAGGAACCAGTAGAACAGCTCCTCCAGCCAGAGGCGTCCCCTCTCCAGCTGAAGTCTGCATGGTCCCTGCTGTGTGCCTTCAGACCACAGGGCCATCCTAGCCACCCCCCCGACATCACCCTTTGAAGTGCTTTCCAACCTGACCCCAGGAAGTTCTCCCTGTTTGCCTGTCTCCCCAGTGAGGTGTGACCTCAGGAGGCATGGGGAGTCTATCTGGCCATTCTGTGTCCACTTCTGCAGGTGTCACTGAACTGCCCTGGACCTGAAAAGTCCCATATGGCCATGGGGGGTGGGTTATGGGCCAGTGTGGACAGGTGGGGCAGGGGACTGTGGATAAAGGGGTGTGGATCTGCACCTGTAGGCAGCATTACTGTGGGTGCCGTGAGTTCTGGTCCCTCAATGGGGGGTGGGAGGTGGAAGCAAGGTGGAGGGCTCAGCTGGCCCTGTAGAACCCCCAAAGCAGGGCTGGGGACAGCCCCAAGGAGCAGCCTAGGCAGCCTCCTGCTGGCCCAGACCTTACTGCGGGAAGAGCAGGATACAGGATGTAGCTGAAAGCTTCCTTGAGTGCTGGATGTGAGTGGGCCCAGGAGACCAGACTGCTGGGAGCCATTGGGGAGATAGTCAAGGCTGCCAGGTTGGGCAAGTCAGGTGTGCACCACCCTGGCCCAGTTCCTGTGCCCTTCCATGAGAAGGGCCTATTGGCTGGGGAAGGCAGGGGCGGGGCCAGGGAGTCCAGGGGCTGGGCCTGAACCAAGGAGCCAGAGTGCTAGGAGGAGCCCTCAGACCTGATACTGGACCATGTGTGGCTGGGGGCCTTGGTTGCTCCCCTGGCTGTGCCTACAGGGTGAGTGGGTGTCGGGGGGAGGCGGGTCACCTGGCCTCCCACACCTCCTGCAACAGCGACAAAGCAGGCAGTGGCCAGCTGGGACTGGCTGACTACACAGGGTACAGCCAGCTGTTCTGGAGGGCTATGCATCCTGCTGGGCCCGGGTGGGGATTGGGGGAAGAAAAGGGAGCATGAGAGTGTCTGCCGTGTGGGGACCTGTGCCAGAGCCCCTGGCCCAGCTTGCCTTCTGAGAAGGGTGGAGATGAATAGCAGTTCTCACACTTGATGCACACAGCCCCCCGACTCTGGGAGGGGGAAGGGAGGGAGGGTCTCCTGACCGCCTGGACCCAGGCTGCAGCTGCAGGTCTGTTGTTGGATACGGGGTTTGCAGTGCTTGGTGAGGTGAGAACATGGGTGGGGGCAGGAGTGGCTCTGCCCAGTTCCTGCTTGGATGCAATCCTGTGGTCACACAGAGGAGAGGTACTGGGTGGGGGCATCAGTGCAGGGGCCACGTGCCTCTGACCACCTCTCCTTCAGCCACGGCCCTGGCTGCACCCCGGCTCCCCACACAGCCTTACCAGGTGGTGTGGCCCCAGCGCCTGCCAGGATCTCGTGCCCGCCGAGCCCTTCCTTCCAACTCAGTAAGTTTCCGTTGGCCCCCTGTGACTGCCTACCACCACGTCCCCACTGTGATATGGCATCTCGGCTCCTTCTTGGTAACGGTGGGCGTTGGGGTTCAGCAGGTATTGGAGGCTGTGAGCGGGAGGGCACTCCCACCCTGAGGTTCTTCAAGAGGGTGCCGACCCTGTACCTGCCAGCTCCCTCAGGGTGGGTGTCTGGGGAGGGACAGCCAGACACAGAGGCTGCTTTGGCATCACCCCACTTGGAGGTTTAGCAGGCCTCAGCTAGGACCCAAGCATCAGGCCAGCTCAGGGGTCCTCTGCGGCAGGCCGGGAGGAGCTCTGGCCAAGGGCCAAGGGTTGATGACTTCCCCCAGGCTGAGCTGTGACCCAGGCTGGGTGGCCTGGTTGAGTCTACTCACCACGCCCTGTTTCTGGCCCAGGGTCAGTACCCAGAGGATGTGAGCTACGTGCTGCAGGCCAGGGGCCTCAGCTTCACACTGCACCTTCGCAAGAATAGGTGAGCAGGGCTCCAGCCCACCTGCCCAACCCGTCCACTCTGGCCCAGGTGCTCAGTGGTACCTGCTCCTCCAGGGACTTACTGAGCCCAGGTTACACAGAGACCTACACAGGCGCTGATGGTGTGGAGGTGACAGAGCAGCTCCAGCAGGTACAGCCAGGCAGCCCCTTTGCCGTGGCGGCAGGGCACAGGGTGGGTTTGAGACTTGTGCCCTCCCTCCAGGACCACTGCCTCTACCAGGGCCATGTGGAGGGTCAGCCAGTCTCAGCTGCCAGCCTCAGTACCTGCAACGGCCTCAGGTGGGCCCTGTGGGGCCTGGGAGTTGAGGGGATTAAGTGGGGAGAAGGGCTGGAGGCTGGGCCTAGGGAAGCGTCTTCCTTGGACAGTCAGGGTACTCAGGCTGCCTGCCCTGACCCTAGTAGCCAGAAGCACTCTCCTGGCCTCCACACAGGGGTTTTTTCCGGGTTGGCTCTGCTGTGCACCTGATCGAGCCCTTGGATGGAGCTGAGGACGGGCGGCATGCCCTGTACCTAGCCGAGCACCTGCTGCCCACAACTGGAACTTGCGGGGTCAGCAACAGCAGCCTGGATAGCCTACAGGGGCCCCGGGTCTCAGCAGCCTTTAGACCCAGGGTGAGCAGCTCCCTGGGGGCCTCTCTCTGGACAGCCCTGCCTGAGGGGAAGGGGGTTGGGGGCAGGCTTCCAGCAAAGTGCTGGCCAAGGACTCACTGGCTTCTCCTTGCTGTGGCCCAGAACTGGCCGCTGGCCCGGGAGACCCGCTACGTGGAGCTCTACGTGGTCACAGATACTGCAGAGGTATGAGGCTCCTGACCAGGAAGGCCGGGACCTCCCGAATAGGCAGGTCTCTGTGGTCTTGTTCCCCAGCACACCAGCCATGGGTCTTTTGTCCTCAGTTCCGAAAGTGGGGGAGCAGAAAGGCCGTGCAGAAGCGGGTGCTGGAAGCAGTGAACCATGTGGACCAGGTGGGGCACCTATGAGCAGGGCTGATTTAGGGGCACAGTGTGAGGACCCTGTGCCATATCTGGTTATTCCCAGACATACCTCATGGCCCTGCCACCCTTCGGTACCCCCAGCTGTACCAGGCGCTGAACATGCGAGTAGTGCTGGTCGGCCTGGAGATGTGGGATCGCCTGGACGCCTTCCATGTCAGCCCCGAGGCCGAACGCACACTAGATGCCCTCCTGGGCTGGCGAGCGCACCACCTGCTGGGAAAGCAGCCTCACGACAATGTGCAGCTCATCACGTGAGTGGACAGGGACAGGAGGGGATGGGGCTGGGAGCATGGACAGGGCACCTTGTGGCTGTCCATTCCAGGGGCGTGGACTTCAGCGGGACCACCGTGGGGCTGGCCAAGGTGTCAGCCATGTGTTCCCGGAGCTCGGGGGCTGTGAATCAGGTAAGGGGAGGCCCCAGGTGGCCCGGGGCAGTGGGTATATCCTAGAACCCAGGTCCTTGTGCCAGGTACTCACAGCCCCTCCCCCTGCAGGATCACAGCCCAAACCCGCTGGGTGTGGCATCTACCATGGCTCATGAGCTGGGTCACAACCTGGGCATGGACCACGATGAGAATGTACAGGGCTGTCACTGCCCAGCACCCAGTGGGACCGGTGGCTGTATCATGGCCTCCAGCATCAGGTGCGTCCCTGAGTTTGTGGGCAGGGTGGACAAGGAGGGAGCTCAGATGCCAGCCCCTGAGGGGACTGTGCCCCTCCCTGCAGTTCCAGGTTTCCACGGATGTTCAGCGGCTGCAGCCGTACCCATCTGGAGACCTTCCTGGATGGGCCCCAGACGGACTGTCTGGCCAATGTTCCCGACCCCCGCCGGCTGGTGGGTGGCCCCACATGTGGGAACCACTTTGTGGAACCAGGGGAGCAGTGTGACTGTGGCCCCGCACAGGTATGCCCCAACCCCAGGGAGTGGGAGAAGCAAGGAACCAGGCCTCTTCTCTCAGGCCTGGGGGCAGCTGCTCAAGTCTCCTCCCAGGCCTGCAGGAACCCCTGCTGCAATGCCACCACCTGCCAATTGGCTGAAGGAGCCGTCTGTGCCCATGGTGCCTGCTGCCATGCCTGCCAGGTCAGTGAAGGACCCTGTGCTGGTCTCTACCGGCCAGTGGGTGAGTGGGTGGGTAGATGGACTAAGACTGTGAGTGGGGCCAGGACGCTGGGTTCCCCCCACCGCTGGGCAGGTGCGACCAGCTGGTGAGCTCTGCCGCCCAGCCAAAGATGCCTGTGACCTGGAAGAGCTTTGTGATGGCCAGGAGCACGAGTGTCCAGAGGATTCATTCCGGGAAAATGGCACGCCCTGTCCAGAGGGCTTCTGCTACAAGGGGACCTGCCCCTCATTAACCCAGCGCTGTCAGGAGCTATGGGGGCCAGGTAAGGAGGGCCCAGCTGCTGCCTGTGGGACCCAGAGCCAACATCTTGGTGTGGCCAGGGCTGACTTGCTCCTGGCCCTGCAGGTGCACGGGTGGCCATGAACACCTGCTTCACCTACAGCATCTCCCCCAGCTGCCAGGGTAGCATCCCAATCGGCTTGGGCAGGTGAGTGCAGCAGGATCCAAGGACCTGCCCATGGAGCTCCCAGCCCCTGCAGCCAGCTCTGGGGGCGGGGGAGTGGTTGGCAGGGTACTGCCCTAGCTCTAGGACCCACAGGTGCTGCCCTCATTGCAGGGCTGACAGGTGTGGCATCCTGTTCTGCGAGGGGGGTCTGGAGCCCCCACTGCGCAGGTACTGCACCATTACATCCAGTGTGGCCACCTGCCAGGCCCTGTTCACGGACAGCAACATGGCCTTTGAGGCTGTGCCCTCTGGCACCAAATGTGGCCCCAGCCAGGTGAGCAGTGTCTGGCCACTTGGGTGGCCAAGGCAGAGCTGGGGTGGTGTGCAGGGTTGGGGTTGGGAGTGGGACCTGGGCCTCCAGCTGTGCTGACCACCCTCTGCCCCACTGGCAGGTCTGCTGGGATGGACGCTGCCAGGGTCTCGATGTCTATAGATCCAGGAACTGTTCTGCCAAGTGCCATGGCCACGGGGTACGCTGGCCTGCCCAGGCTATCCTGCCCACAGGGTCTCCACAGAGCCTCTCCCCAAGGCCAGCCTGGGGATTCCAGGGGAGGCAGGAGGGGCAGGCCCCTGGGGGCCTTGAGCCTGAGTCTGAGCGCTCCCAGGTCTGCAACCACAAGAGGGAATGCCACTGTCTGGCAGGCTGGGCCCCACCCTACTGTGCAGAGCGGCTGGCTCCTGGGCCTGTAGGTAGGCACCCTTGGGCCTGGGGTGGGGATGAGGCCCCTCAAGGCCAGCCTAGCCCTGGCTACCCCCACCTGCTGTTTCCTCCACCCCACCACCAAGGGGCTGGGACTTCCACAGTCAGCCAAGTATCCAGCCTGGCTAGCCAAACCTGTGTCTTACAGCCCCCAGTAGGCTCCCGTTCGGCGGCCTGGTGGCTGTGGTGGTCCTGGCAGTTGTGCTGGTCGCCGTGGCAGCTGCTATCATCTACCGCAAGGCTCAGAGTTGTGGCCATGGGAGGTGGGGCCTGCCCTGCACATGCCTTGCCTCCCCACACAGGCAGCCCTGGGCCCTTGCGGGCATCAGGGTGTGGTTGGGGGACACTGATGGTCCTGTCCCTCCCCAGGAGCCCAGCATCCAAGGCCTCCATGGGGATGCCCAACCCACTCTTCCGCCTGGGGGGTGAGGCCTTGGCCCCTACCCCGCACCTTCCAGCCTCTCCCAACCTCCCCAGCCGACTGCCTAGCCCCTCATCTTCCACTGGAACCCCAGCAAAGACAACTATCTCCTATGAGGTGAAAGGGGCTCAGTGAGGACCATCCCCAGCCCCCCACCTTTGAGGCCACATTCACCAGGACGGGGACTTGGATGTCCCAGGACACGGGTGTCACACAGTTCAGGGTGTCTCAGGCTGGGGTGTCATGGGATGGGTTGTCACGGGACATGGGTGTCACTCAATGGGACCAGGGGATCCCCAGTGTGGGTGCGCTCTGGGAATCCTTCCTGCTGGGAGGTACAGAAGTGGAGTGGAGCTGGAGGCCACAAAGCCCTGGGGTCGGGGAGCCTGTCCCTGTCTGCCTCCAACCCCTGGGGTCATGGCTGCCCAGCTGACTCCTCTCCCGCCCTCAGCTCAGACCTGCTCCACCCGCCAAGCCCCTTGTGAAGCCCAGGCAGGTGAGCACATGGGAGTGGTGGGGTGGGGGGCAAGCAGTGCTGATCTCACTCTACTTCCTGTGGGCTGTGGCCATCCCTGACCTGCTAATACTTCACACCAGCACTCCCAGGGGAGGTATTGCACACTGTCCGTGTGTCAGGCAGTAGGGGGCTGGAGGGCTGCACTCAAGGGTCCTCAGCAGCAGCAGCAGGACTCGGCCCAGCCGCATGCTGGCCTTTTGGGGGGTCCCCTAGGGAATGTGGCTTGGCTTGTCCCACACACAGGTCAGGGACCTCATGGTATTGACCCACACAGGTCATCAAGCCAAGCTCTGCACCCCCAGTGCCCCCGGCCAAGCCCAGGCCTGGAGCTGCTGACCCAGCCGTGACCCAGGTGAGCTGGGGCGGGGCTGTGTCCCTGTGTCCTCCTGTGTCCTGCATGGGGCTGCCCTCTGCACAAGGGGTCAGATTATCCATCACAAAGCAACACAGAGCCACCCTGAGGTATTCGGGCGCACCCTCTGTCACTTGGTGAGTACGGGCCCAGCTGGGCAGTCATCCACACACGGCCCACCTGTGCACAGTCAACCTGCGCACACAGTCCACCTGGGTTAGGGCCCACAGCCTAGTCAGGCACAGAGTCAACCATACAAGGCCCACCTGGAAGCTTGAGGATGACCCGAGATTGCCCTCCCCTCAACCTCAGGGCATGCTGGCTGCCTTGATCAATTGTTCACCTTCAGTTACCATAGCCCTTACACATTTTCTGTCTTGCTCCAAGAGGACTGCTGGCCTGCCAGTTGCCCCAAAGCCGCCTGGGCAGAGGTGGTGAGGAAGAGCCCACAAGAGTCACACGCCATGTATCTCAACCCTCAGCTCAGCCGCCCACAGGACATCAGGGCTGAGGACCCAGCCCCCACCCAGCTGAGCCCCGGGCATCCCTCTGAAGGGTGGTATGCCACAGCTTGGGGAGGATGTCCATGGCTTGGGTCCAGTTCTGTCCAGCTCTCCTGAACCTCGGGTGAGGGCCCAGCAGGGCTGGGCACCTGCATACCTTGGCTTGAATTGCCCTTCTGGGCCAGTTTCCTGCTGATGGCCCAGAAGACAGCCTGACACCCAAGGGCCTGGGCCCCTGCATACACATGGAAAACCTGGATGGAGCCTGGTCCAGCTCTGGCAATTGCGGCCATCTGAGGAGTGAGCCAGCAGACAGAAGACTCTCTCTTGTCTCTGCTTTTACAGAAACAACTAAAGATGAGAATATGTTAAATCACAGGGCAGATTTAATTAAAATGCTCATTTTATCAACAAATTATTGCTTGGTGTTGGGGTGTTATGGTTCTGGGAGGGTTCTGGTCCCATTCCCCTTGTGGGAACACCAGCCCAATCCTGAGCCCAAGGACAGGCACCCTTGGGACCCAACACCAGCTGGTACACACCTGGGAAGTGGATGTAGAGGGGTGCTTTCTGCCCACTCTGTCAACCTCTGCCCCACCTCCTCCCTGCCCAGTTTCACCCATCTGATAGCACCCCTGCCTGCCCCTCCTCCCCACCTCTGCAAAAGGCCAGCTGGGCCCCCAGGGTTCCCCTCAATAGCTCAGCCCTGCTCAGTTCCATGGTGGCCTGGTGCTGGCTGTGACGTCCCCGTGGGCACCTGACCCTGAGCTGTTTGCTTCAGAAACAGGAAGTGGGGGCATTGTGGCTACAGAGGAGTGGCCATGAGAGGAGAGAGCTGTGGCCCTGAGGTCCCCACAGCTGCCTGTGACCTAGAGGCCAGCCCGGGCAGGGCCTGCCTCTGCCCTTGAGACACTGCTTGGGACCCCATGTATGGGATCCCGGCCCCTTAGAAGACTCAAGAACTTGTGACCCTGCCACCCTGTTGGATGAGCTGGGCAGAGCCTTGGGCCCCAGCAGCTGGGCTACTCCTGGGCACCAGCAGGGAGGAGGGCGCAGCTCGTCAGACTCCGCCCCTCCTCCCCTGGCCCTAGACCTTGGCTGAGTCTGTATCCAGTATAGCCAGGTCTGGGCTGGGGTCCCCGTGTGGCGGGGGCTGGGCTGGGCTGGGCTGGTTCCTCAGGTGTTGGTGTCTAGTCAGCCCTGCTGCTCTTAAGCTCTAGTTCCAGCAGGGGGCACTGCCCAGGCTGCCTAGGTGCTCCCAGTTTGAGCCAGGCACTAGACTCCAGGCTGTGGGGCCAGTCTGCTTTGTGCAACTCCCAGCTGGTTGGGGAGCAGGTGGGCTTTGGACCCAGGAGCATGTGGGTGGGGAAGAACCGCTGACCAGGGTTGTAAAGCCAGCTGTAGCATGGGCACCCGTAGCATGGGCACCCATAGCCTGTCTCCACCCCCAGACTGCACAATGGCATCTGGTGGGGAGCAGCAGGCGGGGGAGAGTGTCTGTAGGCCAGGTTGTACTTGGTCAGTACAACCCCCACATGGCCAGCCTGGTAACTGTGTCCTTTCTGGGATGCAGCTGGGCGAGCGCATGTGAAATGGCAGGACCCCAGAATGGGGTGGGAATCTCTACTTTTTAAAATAAAGTATTTTATTTAATTTTTTTTTAATTTTTAAGAAAAACACATTTTTAATTTGAAACAGAGGGGGTAGGTGGGAGACAGCAAGGCAGTGCCCGTGAAGGCTGCTGACATTGCAGGCGTTGGCTTTGTCCCCATGTCACAACCCTGGTCCCCCAGCTCCTTCTCTGCAGTGTGCAGGGCAAGACAGACTTTTGCCAGATTGTAGGGTAGGTGGGGGAAGAAACCAAGTGGTGACTGCAGGTCAGAGATCAGACTGGCAGGGTGGGTTAGTGTGCTAATCCTCCAGCTGCAGCATTGGCACCCTATATGGGCGCCAATCTGAGTCCAACTTTGGATTCAACTCCCTGCTATGGCCTGGGAAAGCAACGGAGGGTTAGGTTGATGGTTTAAGTGCTTGGGCCCCTGTAGCCATGTGGGAGCATGGGAAGAAGCTCCTGGGAATGGAGCCAGCAGGACTGGCCACCAAGGAGACAGGACTGTTGTCCTGGAGGTCAGGGCCTCACATTCTGGAACTGCCCAGGCTGTGCAGGGTCTGGAAGCTGTACTGTTGGGGACCTGGCCTGGACCCACTCAGGTACAGATGGTTGAAGGCTCACCCCACTACTTCATGGTAGGTTGACTCATCTGCCTGGGTGCACCCTGAGGGGCAGGGTTTCTGGGCTCCTGGGTGCAAACTGCTGTCCCCACTTCTCTGCCTTTCAAACACACAAGACAAGGAATTCTTTCAAAACTTGAAACTGTGGAAAGAAAATCAGAAGCTCAAAAGTAGCTTCCTAGAGATCACATGTGGGACAGGGCAGTCACACAGGATGGAGCACCCAGCAGCTGGGCCTCTGTGCCCACCCCTGGCTGAGGTACTTGGGGCTTTCCAGGAGGTGCAGGATCCTGGGCTGAGGTGGGGGGCTCATGTCAGCTCTGCAGGTAGCATCTTGCACAGGTGTGTGGTGTGCGTGAGCCTGGGTCCAGGCTCCCTGCAGGCCAGGTGGGACCCCCAGGTTGGCATTTCCCTGTGGAGGGGCTGGGAGTGGCGCCTGAATGGCCTTGGAACTCCCCATGGCTGCATTCCAATAGCAGAGGCTGAGGGGATTATCTCTGGGGGAGGCCCAGGGTGTCCTTGGGGCCTGACCCTGTGCGAGCAGGCGTCTCCCAGGACCCAGGGTAGTTACACCAAAGGCACTGCTGCCCCCAACACCTGCCAAGGCCTGGGACTGCCCTGGGCATCTTGGGCTGAACCCCTGTCCACCAGCCTGTGGGAACCCTTCCAAGTCCCAGGTACAGTAAAAGCTGGGGTGCAGACTAGAATGCAGGGCTTGGATGTAGAGTTGGGGAACAGGGTTTGGGTGCAGAACTGGAGTACAGGGCTAAATCAGGCACAATCCTTGGACCCCAGAAAGACCCAACCTCACAAGGCAGAAACATGGTCTGTGGGGGATGCAGGAGCTCATGTCACCCTCTGGGCTCTGTAGCCAGGCTGTGGGCTGAACCTGGTCGGGTTCCAGGGCAGCTGCAAGGAGGAAGGCTGGATGGAGGAGGTGGCCCCTGGGCCTGAAGGCCACTCCCTATCACACTGGCCTGCTATGCTATCAGGGCCCCTGCTCTCTGCCTGCTGAGTAGAGGTCCAGCCCAGGCTGCCGGCAATCCTGGCCGAGACCCCAGGGACGGCAGGAACGATGGGGTGAGGCTGGCACCTGCAGTGCCCTGCCCCTTACCTACACTTTGGCCAGGAGCTATGCTAGGGAGGTGGGGGCTGCTCCTCAGGGGTCTTGATGCTTTGGCTCCTGAGTGGAGAGGGGATCCCCCAGACCCTCATTCCCTCCCCTCACAGAACCTTTAAGACAAGGACTCGGGGAGACCCCAGGTTCTGAGGGCCACAGCCAGGCTGGGACCAGTGCCACCACTGCTCAGTCTACACCCTCAGCCCTTGCTCCAGCCCCCTGGCCTCAGCACTGAGATGCTGACCACGTCAGCCCCAAGGCAAATCTTAGCTTTGTGGTATGACAGGAAGCTGAGGGAAAGCTTGGGCATCCTCAGAGTGTAGCACCCCCACCCTGATTCTCACTGTCATTGCCCACCACCTGTGGTGCTGGCATCCCACATGGCATCAGTTCAAGCCCGAGTTGCTCCACTTCTGATCAGCTCCATCCCTGCTGATGGCCTGGGAGGGCAGCAGAGGATGGCCCAAGTGCTTGGGGCCCTGCATCCACACTCCTGCCTTTGGTCTGCTCCACCTCTGACTGTGTGGCCATCTGGAGAGGGAACCAGCAAATGAGGCCCTCTCCCTTCCTTGTCTCTCTTTCCTAGAGCCCAAGGTCAAGGCAACCCCCTCCCTCAGCCTGGGATGGACAGCTCAGGGGAAGGGCCAGTGCCCTGTCAGTCATCCTGGCCTCTCTAACTTCCATGTTTGGAAAAGTGGGGGCTCACTCCAAGCCCCCCAGGACCCTTCATCATAGATGGAGGAAAGGGAGATGCCTGTGTGCTGAACTCTTGAGGCCTCCCCTCTCCATCTCCAGGACAGGGACCAGGTCCCACCCCTACCTCACACTGGGGGAGCCCCTGCCCTCAGTCCCATGTCCCTGTAGCTGCTTGGGGAGCTGGGTGGGGGTGACTCACAGGGGCTGAGGAGACTGTAGCTCACATGACTTCCCTAGGCACCTCCCCACATTGGGGGACCTTGCCTTGTCCGCCCAGAAGAGGCAGGGACACGCAGACAAAGGGCCATGCATGTGTGGACACAGCCCAGCTGGCCTGGGGAAGCGGAAGGAGGAGGCAGTGTTTGTGGGTGGACAGTGCCTCCTAGCAGCTCAGCTCAGGGATGGAGGGGCACAGGGTACCTGCTGAGGAGCCCAGGGACACCCCCTCCTGCTCCTGCGCAGAGGTCAGGCCCTTGCCCACACAGACCCCAGCAGTCTCACAGTAGAGCCAGGGGAGGTTGCAGGGGCAGTGCGGGTAGGAGCCCTCTTACTGGATACTTACTGGGCTAAGATGTCTCTGGCTCCAGGGACCCCACAGAACAGAGCCCATTCTCAATGCCCACAGAACACAGTGAGACAAGGGGTGCATGATGGCCTGCTTGCCTGTGTCCATCTGGGAGGAAGGGGTGCCTGCTGGGCCAGAGCCTGGGCCCAGGAGGGCCTCCAGGGAGGGGTGGGCGGGCGTGAGGTCTGCAGCTGCAGAGCTGGGCTGCTGGGTCCTGATCTCCCCCGTGTGCTGGGGCTGGCCGTGACGCAGGCGGGAACTTGGTACAGATAAGCGAGGCGAGGACTGCCTGTTCCCAGGCCAGCAGCCCCTGCCTCCGCCCGCATGTGCGGCCTTGGCTCAGAGCAGGTCTTTGTGCCCCAATCTTGAGGTGTGGGGGTGGGACGGGGTCCTCAGCATGGAGCCACCCTCCGACTCCACGTGACAGTCACAGGCCAAGGTCCCGTTGGCCCATAAAAGGAGAGTGGGGCTGGCAGCGGCAGGACCCATGGTGCAGAGTGCGGCTCACCCGCCAGACTCAGGTAAGTGGGCCCTCCACCCCAGGACGGACCCCAACTTGGCCAGAACCCCAGAGGAGCTGCGAGGTGCCGTCTTCCTATGCACATACTTCTTTGAGCATCTGGTCCGAAGAGGTATAGTGCATGGGAAAGCGGGGCCTCGCTCCAGCAGCAGCCAGCACCGTCTGTGCCCACCGGTCTGGTCCAGGGGGCCTGCAGGGAAAGGGTCTGTTAAGGGTCGGGGTGTCTCTTCAGGAGGTGCCGGCTGGAGGCAGGGACTCCCGCCCGCCCACAGGACCTGTACATCGCCTGAAGATGGCAGTGGCAACTTGGACCTCTGTTCCACAATAAACACTTCAGACTCAGAGCCCTGCTGTGCGTGTCTTTGTTGTCAGGGGTGTGGGGGGATATGGTGGCATGAGGCTGTGGGGATCTCGTCCTGGGGTCCCTCCTCGCCCACCTGTTTGATTCTCAGCAGATGACACCAGAAGTGGGGACTTCCAGGTGGGAGGGGCTTGACCCCAAAATCCCTGCCCCCAAGTCCTGGTCTCCCCAGAAGGGCCGGGCCTGCATGCTGCATAGGCGCTGGTCTCTACAGCCTGGAGGCCCCACTGGACCTCCCATCAGCCCTGAGACCCCGTAACCGCCCCCAAGCTACCTGGGTGACCCAGGGCTCTCCAAGAGTGTGTATGTCTTGCCCAGGCTGCCAGCACCTTGTCCCATTGGAGGTGGACCAAGTCCAAGGGTTCCAATGGGTGGAGTTCCTGCTCCAGGCTGAGGGCATGTGCCCCAGGCCAGGGGAGAGCCTTGGGGAGCGGGTTCATGGGTGCAGGACACCCCCGAGGGGGCCCGGCTCTGTCCAGGGGTAGGGGCTGCCGAGAAAGCCCACCTGTTGGGTGCGCCCTTGGGGGTGGAGCCTGGGGCCTGCTCCAGTTCTGACCGGTTCCCTGGGGGAGGTGTCCGCAGCCCCTCCCCCAGCGACTTCCTGTTTTGGTCTCTGCTGCAGCTTCTCCCTCCCCCAGCGGCTGTTTGGACTAAGATCCAAGGACGTGTCTCCGCTGCCCTCCTGAGAAGCTCTGTGACCTGAGGGGACCAGGCACACGGGCTGCAGAGGCTACCCTGGGCACCTAGACAAAGGATGGCAACTGTGTGGCTGCGTTAGGTCCTGAGAGGCTGTGTTTTCTTTTGAGGGGTTGGGGACGGCTCAGGGTTGACCCAGAAGACACCCTCACAGTCATGAAGGCCATTTGATTCCCGATGGGTACCCAGCCACTTTCTAGGACTTGGGCATCACTTGGGGTGTGGGCTGCTGCAGGGGGAGGGGAGCAGCCCTGGCGGTCCAGCAAGCTGAACACCATTCTCCTCCTGGCCTTGCCCCCACGAGCTCACTTGGGGGGGCCATGTTATGACCCTAAGGCTAGAGCCTCCTCCCACAGATCTGGGGCTGGGCAGGAGCACCCCAAGGCACTGCAGCCACACACCAGCACCCAGATAGGGGTGGGGGCAGAGCAGGGGTGCAGTGCTTGGTGATTCTGAAGCCAGGATTTTCCTTGTGAGAAAACAGCTGAGACACACAACTGTGCCAGCCCGCCTCCTGGGCCGCCCGCCTTACCACCTCACTCTTGCCCTTAGCCCTGACCCCATCCTCAGCCCTGCCCCCTGACCCTGTCCTCAGAGGTGTCTGTTTTGCCCATGATTCTGGAGTTAGGTCACACAGGACCTGACATTCCATTCCCTGGCCCCAGGGTACTCCCAGGTGGCTAGTACACAGGGAGGGCACGCAGCAACCCCTAGCCGCCGAGCACGGAGGAATAGCCTGTACTGGTGCGTGCTCGGCTTGGGCCCCTGCTGGAGGCTGAGGTCAAGGTCTGGGCTGGACCTTGTCACTGGAGGAGACTAGGTACATAGGAGGGAGTCAGCACCTGCTGGATGCAAGAGACCACATGGCCACCCTCTCCCTTGTTGCTCGGTGGGAAGGGCAAGCAATGTCCTGGCAACCACGTGCCCAGCTTGATGGACAGGTTGGTCACAGAGGAGTCTGCCGGGGGATGTCTCCCCAGGTGGGGCCAGGAGACCTCCAGCCCCCTCCAGGTCAGAGGGGTGGGTCTGGAAAGGAAACGTTCCTCTGGGCCAGTGGGCTCCCCGTGGGCAGGGGGAAAGGGCCTGGCTGCTCCGGGGGAGGGGCAGCAGAAGCGGAGTGAGCTCCTTCACAGGCCCCCAGAGTCCTGCCAAGGGAAGGTCACACCTCACTGGGCAGGGCGGGGCTGGCACAGGATAGGGGATGACCAAAGTGGATTAGGGTGCTCAGCAAGGGCCGATCTGGATGACCTCTGGGGCAGCGTGGCCCAGCCCCACTTGCAGGAATATCTGCAAAATACCCAGTGTGTGAGAAGTCTCCTTCTTTTGTAAAGAGTTATTTTTATTGGAAAATCAGATATACAGAAAGTAAGATCTTCTGTCGGATGGTTCACTACCCAAGTGGTTGCAACAGCCAGAGCTGAGTTAATGCAAAATCAGGAGCCAGGAGCCTCTTCTGGCTTTCCTATGTGGGTGTGGGATTCCAAGGCTTTGGGCCGTCCTCGACTGCTTTCCCAGGCCACACATAGGGAGCTGGATTGGAGGCTGGGCCACCGGGACTAGAACTGGCGTCCATATGGGATCCTGGCATGTGTAAGGCAAGGACTTCAGCCACTGGGCTACAGCGCCAGGCTTGACAAGTCTTATTCAAGGCAGAATAGCCCAGAATAGCCCCCCCCCCCCCCCGCCCAGGTGGGGCACAGGTGCTGCAGGCCAGAGATCAGCGAGACCAGACAGCCAATCCCCAGACCTGCTGAGTGGCCGGAAGGGCCCCATCAGCACCAATCGAGGGCCCATTGTTATGCTAGGAGCCCCGTGGCCAGACGCGGTGGCCGGCCTGCCTGGAGCCTCCCCCGACCCCGGAAAGAACCCCCAGTGTGTCAGAGCAGCTTCAAGTTTCCCCCTCCAGCCCGGTCGTGGCAAAGGTAGGACTCCCAGGAGGCTGACCCCGCCTAATCCCCGGCCAGAGGGGCTGGGGCCGCGGACCGCTCCCCCGCCCGCCACCTTGGACTGGCTTTGGGGCCCCACCCCGCGGGTACGCGCGCCGAGCACCGGTCCAAGTGCAAACAGTCGGCTTTATTGAACATACCCAAGTCGGGGGTTTGGGAGCAGGGGGACAGCCGGGGAGGCGGCTCAGGGGCGAGGGTCATTCAGGACGCCCCTCTCGGCGGCAGCGCTTCCCAAAATGAAGCCCACCGCCAGGGACACGGTCTGGTCGAAGGAGCCACGCAGCTCCTCCACGTGCTGGTTGAGGGCCAGCAGCTGGTCGCGCAGCGGGCCCAGGATGGCCACGATGTCGCCCAGGTGCCCCAGGGTCTGCAGTAGCATGGCATTCAGCGACGGCGGCGTGGCCCGCGGGGGCGTGCGGGGCTGGGGGCTGGCGGGAGGCGCGTCTCGGTCCTCTTGGGCAGCGAGGTCCGGCGGCGGCGGCGACTCAGGACCTCGGGGAAGCGCGCGGTCGGTGGTGAAGGCCGGCGGGGAGTCGGGCGCGCGGGCGGCGTCTGCGGACGACCTCGGCGGGACCGGGCTGAACCTGAGCGTCCACGCGGGGCCCGCTTCTTGGTCGTGGGCGGACGGCTGCGGCGTGGCGCCTGCCAAGAGCGGGGGTAAGCGGGTCGTGGTGGAGGCCCCCCAGCTCGCCCGGGGTCCCCGTCCTTTTCCGACCCTCGCACCTCGCCTACCTGGCTCTTCCGGGGTCGGCACACTCGTGGGCGAGGGCGCGGCGGGGGCCGCGTGGCGGCTGTGCTGGGGGCGCCCGGGCCCTGAGGGCCGGCGGCGGACGCGCCTGCGTCCGTTGTCGCCCAGTAGCGCCATGAGCTCGCGAATCTGCGGGTCGAAGGGCCCGGACGGCTGGCCCTGCGCGTCGCGGAGCTTGTCCTTGAGGAACTTGTAGCGACGACGGCATTGCGCGGGCGTGCGCCTCACGTGCTGCCGGGCAAGTGCGGCTGACACGCGGCGGTAGGTGGGCAGCGCCTGGCGCCGGTCCAGGAGCAATGCACGCCACACGGCCGGCTGCAGCAGCGTCCCCAGCAGCAGCTCCGTCTCCCGCGCGCTCCAGGGCGTGCGCTTAGCCGAGCCGGGGGACACCGGCGACCCGGGCTCGGCCAGCGTGTCTGGCGAGGCGGGCCGACGGGGCGGGGTCTGCGGGACGTCCAGGGCCGGCCGCGGCTCGGGCTCGGGGCTGGCGGGCGACGGCGGCGCGGCGGGCGCCAGAGGCGGCGGCCGCCGGGGCCGGAGCAGCATCCCGGGGCCGACAGGGGCACGCGGCGAGCGGAGACAGGCGGGCGCCGGCCGGGCCGCCCACGCGCTCTGACGCCCCTGCGCACCGGCCGCCTCCGCCGGGGGTCTACGCGACCCTCCCCTCGCCCCTGCGCCCCGCCCCGCCCCGCCTCCGGGCCCGCCCAGCGCGCAGGGGCCCCGTCTTCTTCCCAGGCCCCCCACTGCCTACAGCGAAGCCCTGCGCAGGGCCCAGTCCGACTTGACTCTCCCTCGGGCCATCTCGTCCTTAAGCAAGTGTGGTGCACTTTGACCTTCCCCTGGGGTCCACACCCGCCAGACTTGGCTGTGTCACACCCCATCCAGCACACGTGGAAGGTGTGTTGAGCCCACCAGCCTGGTGTCTTCGGGCCAACTAGATGTGGTGACACACACCTACAGACACCTGTGCCCTGTGCAAGTGTGCTCCACACTGTACCCCCAGTCAGCTGTGCCCCCTGTGCCCTGTATAAGTGTGCTCCACACTGTACCCCCAGTCACCTGTGCCCCAGTTCATCTGAACTCCACATCTGCACGTACTGCAGTGGTGTGCTAGAAAGGGTTTATTAGGACCTGGACTGCATCGTGAGGGCCAAGGAAGCCGTGCTGAAGCAGAAAGCCTGGCCCTCTGGTGTGCAGGGAATGGGAAGAAGGCAGTTGCTTTTTATAGCTTCAGAACTGGCTAGTGCTGCCTGTGAGTCACTGACCGCAGAGCTGGGTGCTGGACAGCAGATGCCCTGTGCGGTGAGTGCACCCCAGGGTCCTATTCCCTCATGTTCCTGTGGGGCCTGGACACCTGTCCCTCCTGTTCCTATGGGGCCTAGACAGCTGCTGTCAGCGTTCAGTGCTTTGCCCCCGCTGTCTGCAGCATCACTGTCGCTGTCACTGAGGGGAAGCCTTACAGGACAGAGTGGACCTTGCTGTGGACAAGCCAGGGCAGGTACAAGCACAGGAAGGGGCTCACGGGGCTCCACCCGTGCCCTGTGCTGTCCTGGCCCTGGACTCCAGTGTCGTACAGACTAAGAACCTCCCGGAAGGTCTGACACCCCTGAGGCTGTGACGTGAGTCCTGGTGTGGAGACTGCGAGTGCAGGAATGGCGTGGGTGTGGGAGCCTGTGGGTGGTGGCTGCTTGCCCACGAGGGTGGCTGGAGAAATGGAGCTGGGGGCTTGCTGACTTCTCCTGGGGAGCTGAGCTGGGTTTGGAATTCTGCCAGAGACGCTCGGCCCTTCCTGGCTTTGCCCATGGGGAGAAGCCAGTCCTCGGCTACTGGAATGTGGCCTTCATGCGCCGCAACTTGTCCTGGATCTTCCGGGAGTGCTTCTCACTGGACACTTCGTGGAAGTTGGCCTGGCTGTCTGCGGCCAAGATGGCCACGTCGACTCCGCTGAACCGGGCAATCCTGAGCCTGAGGTGTGACTGCAACTTGGGGTCAGGGCTGAAGGTGTAGGGATTCTCCTGGAAGGCCTGCACCTGGCTCACCACCTTAGCTATGTTTCTTCATGGGAGAGAGAAGGCGTTAGTGCCGGACCCCCGTGCACCCCTGCCCCAGCTGGACACAGAAGCCTGTGGCAGGTGAGGTGCAGTGTAAGGCAACAGGCAGCGCCTGACTTTGCTGCCTGCAGTGGGAGTCGGCCATTTCCTCCCCTTTGCCAGCAGCGGCTTCTCATGGTTGTAATAGTGAATGCAAGTTCACGACAAAGAGCAGGTGGAGCTTCTGGGCCTTGTCTACCCAGCAAGATCACCCCCCAACCGGCCGGCCCTGGCCACTGGAGTGGGGCAGGAGGGGCGAGGACTCTGGGACTGCTGAGCCCCGCTCACCTGAGCTTACTCCACCTGTGGGCCCCGTTGGTCATGGTGAAGCCGCCTGTCTCCAGCTGCTGGACGTGCATGGCCAGGAGGCGGACAGAGGGTAGGGTGGGCTGAGCCCGGAAGCGCCGCCCTTCCATGAGACACAGGCTGTCACTCTTGAGAAAGACCTAAGGCCAAGGTGGGGCCCGGTCAGTGCCGAGGCCAGCCCAGGGCGCAGGCAGGGCCAAGATGGGGCCCAGTAAGTGCCAAGGCCAGCCCAGGGCACAGCCAGGGCCAGCAAACCCCATGACCCAATGGGCCCGCATTGGGCACAGCCAGGGCTGCCATGAGACAGGCCATACTGTCAGGGCCGAGATGCATAATGGAACCTGTACCTCCACGGCCTTCAGCTCCTCCATGACTTCAGCCATCTTTGCAGGGAGAATCCTCCAGGCCTGAAACAAGAGCCCAGATGAGACAGCTGTGGTCCCGCAGGTGCCCAGCCCTCAGCCCACCTGTACCAAGACACACAGGGGACTGCCTCACGGCTGGGTGCTCCAGCCCGTCCAGGATCTGCATGGCTGTGGCGAAGTTCCTCTGCTCGTAGCAAGCCTTGGCGACCAGCAGGAACCTGGACAGTAGGTTTACCTGCAGCTGCGAGGAGAGAAAGGCCTGATAGAGACAGCTGAGACCCTGCCAGGCAGCACCAAGGGGCGCCCACCCCGTGGGCACAGGCTGGGTGGGCGTAAGAAAATGAGAGCAGGAGGGAGAACTGGACCAGGCACATGGCGGAAGCCAAGTCAGGCTGTGCAGAGGGCAGGGCTGCTGCCAGTCTGGGCTGCAGTACCCGGGAAGCCAGGCCCCGGTCCACGGTGGTGTCTGTCACAGGCTGCAGCCAGACCTTCATGGGACCCTTCGGATCCTGCTGTTTCCTCTGTGCCTCTTCAGCTGGCAGCGGGGAATTTAATATGGACAGTACAAGCTGCTCCTTAGGTTAGGAGCTCGCTTCCAAAGTCTTCTGGAAGGCTCTGGAGGTTTTGGAGGGCTCCTGGGAGGTAGTACTTTTGCTGGAGGTCACTGTGGCAGAGTTCCCTCTTTGACCTTGGCCTCTGCTCCTGTGACCCCAGCACTGTCCAGGGGTCATGTTCCACACTGCCTCCCCACTGTGGTCGGGGCCTGGTGTGGGGTGGCCAACATCCCTAGCTGGCCACACACTGCTTTAAAGCATCGCAATCAGTCAGCTTCTTGTGAGCTAGCGGTCCTCGTGCTGGCTGCATTTACTCCTGAGTGGACTGGGCCATCCTGGGTCTCCCACCCCCTGTGTGAGGGGCAGTAAGCTGTGCCCCTGCACCTGGATGCTGCTTGCCCAGGCCTCTGCTCTAGCTGGGCAAGCGCCCACCTTGGCTGTGTGGCTGGTGGTGACCTCGGCAGCCACCCAGGTGCTGACATCGTCGGCATGGCGCAGGAGCTGGAGCAGGTACGGGTCCTGAATGTAGCTGGGCAGGAACAAGCTGCAGGCTTTGGCTGACAGAGACTCCGCGGAGCTGGCCCTGGAGGGACAGGCCGTGCCTAGGCAGGGCGCCGGGGCAAGTGCTGCACCCTGGAGTCCGGGAGGCTCTGTTATCTGGCCAGGGTTATCTGGCCGAGGGCTCCATGTGAACCTTACCCCATGGACCCCAGGGCGTGGGGGCATACTCACTTGGGGACGGCCGTATTTTTGTCCACAACGCCCAGGGCCCGAGAGTTGAGGAAGTGAACGGGGTGGCACTTTTGGAACAGCTCCTATCCAAGAACGAAGGAGACGCTTGGGCCCCACCCCTAGGGGATGCTGGGGGCAGCGGGGTCTTAGGGATGTTGCTTCTCCCAGTCCCGTCCCAGGCTCTGGGACTGATCCTGTGTCAGCTCCCACCTGCTGCAGTAGTGTGAGCTGAGTAGACAGCTGCCGGGTGCTGTACTCTGTCAGGAAGGAGGGTCCCTTCTCACTGGCTTTGGCGTAGGGGCCATAGAAGTCCTCGCAGAAGCAGGGCTTGGGCAGGGCAGCAGCAATGCTGTACGGGCGGTTCTTGTGCAGCGGCAGCACCAGCCCAGGGCCCCGGGCCAGCTTCCAGGGAAAGGCCTGCGGGGAGCCGGGCTGCGCTTGTCCCACCCCATCCACCCAGCTGGCCAGCCCTTAGTTGAGTGGCCTTGCTGCCCTGGCCATTTTGCATGACACTACCTAGACCCAGGGCAGAGGTGGCTCTATCTCCCAGGTCTCCAGGCTGTGGTCAGGAAGGGTCAGCGAATTGTGGGGTGTGCCTGCCCATAGTGTGGGGCAGGGAATGTGGAGTACATGTGAGCCTACATGCAGAGCATGTCATGGGTCACGTGCGTACACACATGTGTTATGTGCACAGTATGCACTGTGTCACACATCCACACAGTATGTCATGTATGCATGTGTGTGGACATGTGTGCATAGCTGTGTAATGTGTCATGGGTGTATATTGCAAACATGTGCTATGTGCATAGCTATGCAGTGTGTCATGTATGCACACACATGCTGTGTGCATAGCTGTGCAATGTGTCATGGGTGCACACACATGCTGTGAACATAGATGTACGGGTGTCATGTGTACACACGTGTGCCTACCTATGTAATGTCATGTGTGTGCACACGTGTGTGTTTTCAGTGTGCCTGAGGAGCATGTGTGTCATACATGTTTGTGTGTATGTGCATGACAGTGTCTGTTGGGGCTGTCCTATACATGTGCAAATGTGTCTTGTGTGTACATACTCCATGTCATGGAGGTTGGGCATAGGGAACCCTGTCCACCTGTCCTGGGAGGTACTTCCTGGGAGGGCCCCTACCTTCCGGGCGATGCCATCCTCCGAGAATCTCTTACAGAGGGCGTTGAAGGGTCCACTGTCCTCCTCAGCCTCCTTTGGGTCCTCCAGGTCAGTGCCTCGAGGAGTACCCTCAGCCCGTCGGCCTGTGCCCACCTCCAGGAGGTCCAGCAGCTGCTCAGCAGAGCCGTCCAGGGGCAGGATCTAGGTGGGAGCAGGGGGCTTGTGACAGCCCTGGTCATGGGCATGGCCTGGGTGGGGGCTGGGCGGCGCAGTCACCTTGGAGGAGAGGAAGTCCTGGAGTTGCTGGCGCAGCTCAGTGTTGCGGGTGAAGTCCACGGCGTAGCAGTCTTCCAGCCAGGCCTGCAGGATGCATAGGCTGCGCCTGTACACCTTGGTCAGTGTGGAGCTGGGGTCCTGCTGGGCCCTGGAGGCAGACAGGGTAGGGCTGAGCTGGGGTGAGTCTTCCTAGATGAAGGAGGTAGGGATGAGGAAAGTCTTGAGGGTATTGGGCCTGAGTATGAACATGTAGGGTGAGGGGGGGACGGTCATCAGAACTAGGACACTCCTATGTCCCAGTATCCTGCCGACCCAGCCAGCGAGGCCCCAGAAAACAGAATTGCTGGGCTGCATGCTTGTCTCACCCAGGCCTGCGTTGAAACTCCCTGTATCCCCATGTGTGTCACACTTGCCTGTCACACCTGCATCACACACCTGTCCCACTCACCTGCGTCCCTCCCCTGTCTACCCCACCTGTTATTACTTGTTACCCTCAGCTGCATCACACTTTGTTCTTTCCTGTGTCAGCCCTGCCAGGACATCCCACAATCTTTTACCCTGTCCCTCGGGGCCAGGCAAGCCAGGGTGCGGGTACCTGGATGAGGTGCTGCTGATGCGGTCCAGCAGGAAGTGCAAGAAGTCACGGGGTGTGCAGAAGTAACGGAAGGTGTAGAGGAACTGTTGCACGTAGCCCTCCAGGAAGGCATTGCTGGGGTGGGCGATAGCGCTGTGAGTGGGAGTGGCCACAGCCCTGCCCTGCCCTATCTGGCTCTTGGTTGGAGTTGGGGAGGTGTGAGGGTGGAGCCTGGGCTTGCCTTCTTGTGCCGCAGGTCCCTTTGTTAGGAGAGTCAGGGGAAGAGAACCATAGAGAAGTGGGGTGAAACGGAGTAGAGGGGTGGATCAGGATTTTGTGGGACTGCGTAAGGCCCCAGAGGCTTACTGGCCCTCCCTGTCCAAGACCCTGGGAGACACCAGTAGACAGGAGGGTCCTGAGGGGCAGGGTCTAGGCAGGGAGTTCTGGATGCAGGTTCAGGTGTACAATATGGCCAGTTAACCCCAGGCCTGCAGCTTCCCTCTACCTGCCCTGCTCCGTCCGGCCCCCTCAGCCCACAGGACCCTACACTGGTGGTGGCTCTCATCGGGGATCTCAGTCCCTTCTTGCCCCTGACTGCATCCCTCCTCTTTGCTCTCCAAAGGCTCCACCCGGGGGGTGGAGAGTACCTGGAATACAGGTAGGCCATGAGCCCAAGGGGTGTGCCGGCCTGCAGGACACGGGCTGCTTTCTGCCGGCCGCTGCCTGGCTGCTTGTTGACATTGTAGAAGATAAGGGAAGAGGACTCGTCTAGGGGGCTGAAGTCCAATGAGTCTCCTGAGGCAGCTGTGATGTTCACAATGGCAGGCAGGGCACAGGGCTCTAGGCCCCAGCGCTCCGCGTACAGGACCTGGGCAGGGCAGCAGTCGGGGAGGAGGGATGGCAGCAGTCAGTGTGAGGGAGGGCAGTAGACAGGGTGGGGGAGGGCTGTGGTCAGGGAGGGGGAAGCAGTGGTCAGTGTGAGGGAAGACTGCAGTCAGCATGAGAGAGGACTATGGTCAGTATGAGGAGGGCAGTGGTCAGCACATCCAGGACACACAGGCCCGGGGGGAGGGCAGTGGTCAGGGGGAGGGCAGCCCCAGCCCCACTTGCCTGCAGATACTTCTGGACCAGACCCAGGAGCTGCAAGCGGGCTCTCATCTCTTCTAGTTGCCCCTTTAATCTGACTAGCATGGTCTTCACTTCAGAGCCTGCATGGAAAGCTGGTTGGCACAGAGCTGGGGGGTACCAAGCTCAGGGTGCATGTAAGGGGGTGCCCCCCAGCTCAGTGTGCATGTAAGGGGGTGCAGTGCATGGGTGCACTGAACTCAGTGTGTGTGTAGGGGTGCCCCCCAGCTCAGTGTGCATGTAAGGAGGTGCCTGGGAGGCACCGAGCTCAGTGTGCATGTAGGGGATGCCTGGGGGCACCCAGCCCGCACCCCAGCTGCTACCTCGACTACGCTTCTCCTTCTGCAGTAGCTTCTGGTAGAACTTGAGTGTTTTGTTGTAGTTCCTTCTCTCCATCATGAGCTGCTGGCCGAGCTCCTGCAGAGGAAGCACAGGTGAACTTGGGGTGGCTGTGCCCCATGCAAGTCAGGGCAGCACTTGCTGACTCTCCATGTCCCTGAAGCTGGGAAATGCCAGCATGTAGGGACTCAGCCATGAGGACTCCTCACCAGGTCCACTCTGAAAGGAGTCCTGTCTGCCACACCCAGGCCAGCATCCACAGGCCGTGGTCTCTTTGTGTCTCCTGAGGCCTGGCCTCACCTGAGGACCAGTCCACCCGCCGGAGAGTTCTCTGCACATCCAGGCTAACGCTGGCCAATGGGGCTCCCTGGCCTGGGGGGTCACCTGCAGGCAGAGGCACCTTAGCTGAGCTCCAGCAGCAAGGCTCTGAGTCAGGCCCTGGGCGGCCAGGTAGTGCTCAGGTGTTTGGGGCAGACCCTGCTGGAGTCATGGACCATCCTAAAGTATGTCCAAGTTACATGAAGCTGGCCATAACATGTGGTCAAGACATACACATGAGCCCTGAAAGTCTGCTCTATGCGTGTGAGAGCAGACACAGGAAGGCACAGGTGTGAGAGCAGGCACAGGCGTGAGCTGACACAGATGTGGGTAAAGGCACAGGTGTGAGAGCAGACAGGTGTGGGTGAAGGCAAAGGTATGAGGGAAGGCTCAGTTCTGAGAAGGCCACTGCTTGGAGCCTGGTTGTGGTTGGAAGGCAGCATAAGGGATCCTGGGGTGGAGGCCGCTGCCTCCAATGCAGGTTGAGGCGCCCTGTCCTCCCTTGAGTGTCAGGATGGCCCCTCCCCCTCAGCCTGCCTGTGTTTATTCAAGTGCTCAGGCAAAGACGTGGAAGCTTCGATCTGAGCTGGGCTTTTCCTGAAATGGATGGTAGGCCACAGGATTGGTGGGCGCAGGAACCTGCCAGCCTCTGCACCAGTGTGGCCTGTGTGTGCTGTCACTCTTGGCCTGCAGGTCCCTGTCCAGTGTCCACTTGGATGTTTTATCCCACCCTCATGCAGAGGGTGCTCCAAGTACTGGAGTCCCCTCTCCTTGTTAATGTCCAGGACAGCTGTGGGGGGCCCTGTCGGCCCCTCTGCCGAGCCCAGCACAGCTGATCCTGGGCCAGCTCCCTACATGGGCATCTCTGAGGAGATGGGGCCTCCATCTGTCCATTTACTTTCTCCTGGAGTGGGTCAGGTACACTGTGGGAGGTCACGGGGTGGAGCACTGTTGGTTTAGAACATTCCATCCCCCAGGGAGACTGAAGCCTCCAGGCTCCTGTAGCCCCGTGCCCACAGGTGTCTCCATCCCCTGGGCTGGGAGCTAGGGCTCCATCAGCTGCATGTTCTGCGTTCCCTGCGGCAACGCCAGAGGCCCTACTTTCTCATCCCAAAGCTGCACAGGTCTCTGGTCGCAAGGGCTCCTTAACCCACCCTAGGAGCTGGCACCAGGGGCCTAAGCTCATCCAGAAGGGCAGAGCCGACCTTCCCTCGGGGCACAGCGCCTACTGCCACCCAGCATGGCCCACATACTCACTGGATTCTGGGCCTCCAGCTCTGCTGAACCACCGGTCTTCTGTCTCAGCAGGTCCTTCACATAGCTGTGCACATCTGTACCGAAGCAGTCGGCCTCGTAGAAGGCGCTGGACCAGCCGGGGCTGCAGCTGCGACACTCAGCTGGGCCTGGGGCTACTGCTGGGCTGCTGTCCTGGGGTCTGGCCAGTCTGGCCACCGTGTCCAATCCCGAGGCCCCGCTGGCTGGCTCAGGCTCTGGGCCCTGCTGCTTGTCTGTGTTGGCCTTGGGTGGGGATTCTCTGGTTCCTTTTGTTGCCTTCTGAGGCCGGAAGCCCACCTCCAAGTTGCCCCGGGATAGTGTGTCCGTATCCACGCTGGCCAGTGTGGGTGCTGGGCATGGGGCTCCGCTGACCCATCCCTCGCTCGGCTTCTCTGTGCCTTGGGAGAGGCAGGGGGCGTGGATGGTGGTGGCCACTCTTCATTACCATTGTGGGAGTGCCCCGGCCTTGCCTGCTCCCCTGGGATCCCATTTTTTCAGCATCAATGCAATCTTTCCTGGGTCACACCCAAGTCTGCAGGTATCCTGAGCTCTGTGGGCAGATGCAGCTCAGGCTTGGCCTCAGACCTCCCTTGACCTGGGGGCTGGCTTAGTGATAACTGAGGAAAACTGGCTTCTGAAGAATGGTGTGTCCAGGGCGACCCATACACTGTCCCCCAGCTGTGGGGTGAAGGCAGGGGGCTTCTGTCGGCTGCCCAGAGCCCTCTAGTGTAGCACGTTGTGGGTACTTCCCCTCATAGGGCAAAGCCAACTGGGCCCCTTGCATGGCTGCTGAGCTCACCTGACCCGTGCAGCGAGGGCCTTTCGATGGACAGTGAGCAGCCTCTGGCTGGGCACTGGGACTGTGAGCCTGGCGCCTCGGACATACTGTCAAGATTGGGGGTGGGGGCTCAGCAGTTCTCTCTGCCCTGCCCCTGCTCTGCTTTGCCTCCTGCCCAGCTCCACCCCTTTGCACAGCAGGGTAAGGGGTTGCGTGCTCCTAATGGGCTGGAGCCAGTGCTGCTGGGTCAGAGGTCACCCCACCCTTCGGTCCGCACCCCAGTGGAGGGCACTCACCCCGTGGGGGGAGATGCCCGCCCGTTCACCACCTGGAACAGACTCTTCAGCAGCCGCTCCTCCCAGGACAGGTCGCAGAACTTCTCAGACACAGCCCCACAGAAGGTGGCGAAGGTGAGGTCCCTCAGGGCGTAGATGTACTCGCCTGGTGTGGGGGCGCAAGTGAAGGGGCCTGTGCTCATACCCTGCCCATGCCCCCCACCCAGGGCCACCGGCCGCACCCATGATGAGCGCCTCCAGCCCGTTGTCCAGGTAGCCGTCGCAGGCAAACTCTTCCTGGATGAGGCGCGTGGCCTCCTGCAGGGAGGGGCAGGCTGTCCTGGGCAGGCAAGGGGCTTCCCCACCTGGTGGGCAGGACCTGACCACAGGGCCCCTGGGGCTGTCCATCGTGGCCTGGGCCCTTGCGGCTGGACGGATGGCCTCAGGCTCTGGGTCAGCAGGGGCTGTGTCCTGGGGTGGCTGGGAAGGGAGCTGTGAAGAGGGGGCTCCAGGTAGGCCCTGCCCCTTTGTTGTGGCAGGGGCTGGAGGATGGCACCCTCCCTGGGTGAGACTGGACAGCCCCAATGCCCCAGGGGAGTCTGTGGCTGCCCCCTGTGGCTGCAGGCTGGGCTCTGGTAGGTCTGAGGTCTTCAGGCTGGGGGTCTCTAAGAGGGCCTGGGTCTCTGGCCACGCTTCATCCGCCTGGGGCTTCTCGGCAAGCTGGTCCCTGTGGAGACAGGGAGCTGCTCCGGAGGGGCTCCTGAGCTCCGGGTCGCCCCTGGAGCCAACGCTGATACTCACCTGGCCTCACCTGGGTCCTGTGCTAGGACGACTGGCTGGAAGCTCGTGGCCTTGGAAGGGAGGGCCTCTGGCAGCCCGGACACCCCTGCACAGCAGCAGGGCTGAGCGGGCACTGCCTGCAGCCCTGCATTGCTGCTGACTGGCAGGAAGCCTGTGGGCAGCAGGGGGATTCCTACAGCCCACCGTCCCCATACCATGCACCTGGCAAACCTCTGCAGGCTGCTGGGGGGTAGGGCTCTGCTCAGGGACACAGGGCAGGGGAGGTGCAGAAAAGCCTGGGCCTAAGTGAGGCCGTGAGGGCTGGGCAGGTGAGCTGAGCCCGGGCCATGTGGGCAACACGTGTCGAATGTGTCCTCACAGCTGGGCCATTGGGGCAGGGGGCTGTTTGGGGGCCCCACCTGGGCTGGGCTGGGGAGAGGCAGCCACAGGAGCCACATGAGGTCTCTGCAGACTGACGGTCTCTTCCTGCTGAGGCACCTACACCGAGGTCGGAGGTCAGGAGGATGCCCTTGGTGCCCGGCACCTTTCACCTTTACATACTGGCTGGTGATGACCCCGTCTCCCCTCCCCAGGAGTAGGGCTCATGGGGAGGATCCTGGGGCACCCTTCAAGACCACCTGGTGGGCAAGGAGACACGGGAGGGTCCTGCCCCTGAACTCCCCTAAGTCCCTGAGTCATATGTGAGGGGCATGGGCTCCTCCCACAGGGCCCTGCTGGGCACTTCACCTTGCAGGTGGACGCCCTCAGGTGTGCTAAGATCTTCCTGCCGTCCATGCCTCGCTGAAGGAGGAAGCTGCCACACACCTGGGAGCAACAAGCCGCTGGGTGAGCTCTGTACCAGGCCATGCCTTCCCCACAGCCCCAAGTGGGCCGTGAGCAGGGCCTGGGCTTCAGTCCAGGGAGATCCTGCTCCCAGGTGCAGCTGCAGGGGGACCCAACCTTCAAGTGCTGGAGTGCTGGGAGACTCCGCCCCCAGGTGCAGGAAGACCCCATCTCCAGGTGCTGGGAGACCACGTCCCCAAGAGCTCCAGCCCGGGTGTCTTGAATGAAATCCTACACTGGGGCTGAGGTTGTGGCCTCCCTGCCTGCCTGAGTGGCAGGCTGGCGCTAGGTAGGGTTTGCCAGCCTGTGGGATACACAGACAACCACACTTGACTCATGCTTGCACCCCCACAGCAGAGGCCCCTGGTGAGGAGCCTGTGGGTTACCCCAGCAGGCCGTGCTTCCTGCCCCAGTGAGTGGGTGTCCACAAGAAGAAGCTGGCTGATACTGGCTGAAGCCTCTGTCTGCCTCGCTGACCACACTGCTCTGGAGTGGGCCATGAGTGAACTCTCGGTACACAGTGGCCTTCCAGGTGGGCACCCACAGATGAGCTGAGAATTTCCTGTCTGTCCTGGGCACAGCTGAGGGCAGCCTCTGCCCTCCTTGTCAGAGCCTTGGCTGCAGCTCTCAAGGGGACCAGTGCAGCGGAGTGGAGCGAGGCAGCCATGGATATGGTGGCCAGCACGATGGGCACCAGAGCATACTCCCCAGTTCTTGGCGAAGAGGGATAGGGATGCACTTCCTGTAGCCTTGGTCCCTGGGAATGCTGCTCCCCTCTGATTCCAGATGTCATCTCACCTGAGCTGGGGATACAGTGGGTGGAATGGGCCTGGTCTCAAGGTGATCCGAGAAGGCTGGAGGGTTGGGATGCAGAGGGGAGAGGTTGGGCAGCAGCCAGCGCCTGGCTCAGGACAGCCCCCACCAGTGCCCTGGCTGGCTGAGCACCCTAAGGGACACGGGGTCCCTGGGAGGCATGTGGCGGGGGCACTGCCATGAGGACTAGGCTGACTGCCGTAGATACCCATGTGCCCAGCACAGGCCCCAGCTGCTCCGGAAGTGCTGGTACCTTGATGACTTCAGCTGTAGATGGCCGCTCTTGGGCGCAGCGCTTGGCCATGTCCAGGAGGAGGGTCTTGAGTCTGCGTGGCAACGCCAGCTTGCGGTCTCGGGGAACACCAAACTTGGCGGCAGTCCACAGGATGGCAGCTACACAGTATACAGAGGCCTGGGAGGGTGGGAAGGGCGGCCAGTGTGACCCAGGCTGTCAAAGGGGCAACAAGGAGCAGGCCCCAAGAGTGGTCACCTCCCCTGGGGCTAGGGAGTGCCACCCAGACCTCAGCCCAGGACCAGACCTGGAGTTTACCCAGCAGTCGGCGCCTCCTTGGGGGAGTGGGGAATCCCATGTCAACACTGCTTAGCATGTCTGATGGCTCAGGGAGTCAGATGAACCCAGCCCCGCCTCACCTGTTCTGACCTGCAGCCGTGTGTCTAATACCACCTGACCCACGGGGGGCAGAGGCTGCTTCCTAATCAGCCCTGGTCAGTTCCCGGGGGTCAGCTGGTCCTGAGAGGATGCCACAGGACTTTGCCCTCAGGGTAAGAGTGAACCAAGGCCCAGCACTGGAGGCCACTCCCTCCCTGTTCCCCGCATAGCTAGGCTGTGCAGTACATGGCCAGGGGAGTGAGAGAGGTGTATGGAGCTGGGGAAGGCCCCACTACGCTGTTGTTTGCTAGCTGTGGCTTGCCAGCTGCCAGTCCTTGGCAGCCTCTGCCTGACAATATGGCTTCCTGTCTCAGGTCACCTGGACATCAAGTGACATCCATGTTCGCCTGAGTCAGCCTGGGGCTCCTGCAGTGAGCCACGTGGTCTGGTTGGACCTGATGTCCACCTCTGGATGGTACGTCATGCTCTCCACTCAGCCCTCCAGCTTGAGGCTTCCCCCGGGATCTCTGCCCAGCTGCCGCTGTTGGACGCATGTTGAGTGCCTGTGGGAATCCTTGGGAACGGCCACACTGTTGAGCCAGGCCATGAGAGTAGACGTCATTGCTGGTTTTTTTTTCTTGGAGATTTATCTATTTTTGTTTGAAAGACAGAGTTACCCACTCTTTCTCCTTCGGTCTCTCTCACCCTCTTTCTCCTTTCCAACTAATTTATAATTAATGCAAAAAAAAAAAGGCATTTGTGAGAACTCGACAGCTACATATTAACAAAATATGTATGTGAAAAGCAAAAAAACTTTCCAGAGTTGAGAAAAATTGTGCACCAAACGAAAAAGCAGCACATGTGAAGGTCCCTCTGGCCACGATGCCAGGGACACAATGAGGGCCTGGCGCAGCAACTCGGCAGGCTCATCTCTTTGCAAATGCCAGCATCCACATAGTTTCTAGTTTGTGTCTCAGCTGCTCCATTTCCCATCCAGCTCCCTGTTTATGGCCTGGGAAGGCAGCAGAGGATGGCCCACAGCTTTGGGACCCTGCACCCATATGGGAGATCTGGAAGAGGCTTCTCCTGGCTTTAGACGGGCTCAGCTCTGGCTGTTGCGGCCATTTGAGAAATGAATCAGCAGGTAGAAGATCTTTCTCTCTGTTTCTCCTTCTCTCTAAATATGCCATTCCAATAAAAACGAATAAATCTTTAAAAAATTACAAATTACTTTTCCGAAAGTAAAACAGTAGAGCTATTCCATTTCGTATTGGGTGAGCTGTTAGCCGTCTGCTTTTCTTTTGTGTATTTTGCCTTGAATGTCGTTCACATAGCTGAGAGGCACGAGTGCCCACGTGGGCTTGGTCAGTGTTGGTCTAAGACTTGGCCCATTTCAGCTGAGTGGGTAGCAGCTTGGGACACTGCAGCACGAGAGCAAGTGGGGCAGAGAGCTCTTCAGGCCCAGTGTCCACAGAAACTACTGCTGCGCTGGGCTCAAGCCAAGAGCCGGCGCTCCTCTTGGGTCTCCCGCTTGGGCGCAGGGACTCAAGGACTCAGGTCACAGGCTGCTGTGCCCCAGGTGCCCCAGCCAGGAGCTGGCTCTGCAGCAGGACTTCGACATGAGACGTGGGGTGATCTGGGGTGCCGACCCTGCCTCCCCGACAGCACCAGCTCCTCTACCTGTTGTTCTGCTATTACTAGTTTATCTCTGTCCTTATGACAAGCTGAAAAATAGACCAATTACATCCAGTGATAACCGGTCAGGTTGGCTCGACCCTCCTGCCCTAAGGAGGAACCAGGTCCTGGGGGACTGGGCCCCATGAAAAATGGAGCCAATTTCTGAGAAGCTAAACTGTAACTCTAACTAGAATTGCTCATCTTGGCTCTAACTGCTCATTGTAGCCTCTGTTTCCTTGCTTGCTTGCAGCACAAAGGCCACCAGAATGTGGTCTTTTTTCTTTAAAAGCTTTATGCCCTGACAGCCCGGGTGCTCTCCTCCTTTAGACCTGCTCTGAGGGGACAGTTGCCAGCTGGCTAATGAAGACTCCCCAAATTCTAAACTGCCTTTGGTGGCGTTTCATGCAGTGCACCCCATAATGTCCTTACCTGATTAGGTGGCATGTCCCTGGGCCCTGAATGGATGGCATGTACCCTGGGCAAATGAGTTGCACATACCCCTGGTGCCAGCTGGACAGCATGTCTCCTGGGTGATGACTGGGTGGCACGTCCTCTGGGTTCTCACTTGGCATCAACATCCCTCGGGTGCTGACTGGGCATCAGTGTCCCCCGGGTGCTGATGGGGCATCACGTCCCCCAGGTTCTCCTGGGATGGCATGTCCCCTGAGTTCTAACAAGTGGCTCATCGGGCCTCACTGGCTGATGCTGACATGGGGTTCCCATAATCCTGCCAACTTCTATTCCAACTCCTATCAACCATTCCAAGAGGGAGCTGGTCTCCACTGTAGTTCTGAGGTCATCATGTGGCAGTCTCATCCTCACTCTCCACTGTGACACTTTGTGCACCTGCTCCAGGGCTGTGGTCATCACGGAGTGTGGGACTCCCACTGGAGGGGTGTCTCCATCGGTTCTGGCAGCCCCCTCCCCCAGGTTCTACTGCTGTGACTAAAGGGAGCTTCATGGAGACTGTTCACGGCTTGCACATCCCCGAACCTTGCCGTTCTCTGCCTTTGAAAGCTTCTGCCAGCTTGCTTTGCTTTTTCTCTTTTTGGTTTCTCTGGTCTTGTTCTCAAGTCCTGTGAGTCACTTGAGCATTCTCCAGTGTTCATTTTGATTTGTCTGTTATTTTTGAGTTTCTCTTTGTATACTGTGTCATTTTTAGTACCTGTGGTGGGAACTCTCGGTGTGCAGGTGTGCACCCTCCCCAGCTTGTCGGGAGGGTAAGAGCATCCCCTCCCAGGACCACTGCCTCCCCCTCTCAGGACACAGACTCCATTGGCTGCATCACTCTCCCTCGGCCAGAGGAGGCAGTGCTCCTACTGACAGCTTCCAGAACTTTCTTTTGCCATCATCTCTTCACAGAATTATCTTTGGCTGTTCTTGGTGGACACCATGATCGTCTCAGCCATATGTCTCCTGCATAGATGCCGCTTCCAACTTGGCCACGTGTTCCCTACAGACACCACTCCCCTCCCGGCCACATGTCTCCTACATGGGCACTTCTCCCCTCCCAGCCACATGTCCCCTACGCGGGCACTGCTCCCCTCCCGGCCACATGTCCCCTACGCGGGCACTGCTCCCCTCCCGGCCACATGTCCCCTACGCGGGCACTGCTCCCCTCCGGGCCACATGTCCCCTACGCGGGCACTGCTCCCCTTCCGGCCACATGTCCCCTACGCGGGCACTGCTCCCCTCCCGGCCACATGTCCCCTACGCGGGCACTGCTCCCCTCCCAGCCACATGTCCCCTACGTGGGCACTGCTCCCCTCCCGGCCACATGTCCCCTACGCGGGCACTGCTCCCTTTTAAGACATGTGTCCCCTACATGGGCACTGCTCCCTTTTAAGATATGTGTCCCCTACATGGATGCTGCTTCTCTCTCAGGCTTGGATGTTGGCCAGCTGTGTGTGTCATCCTGGGTGAATTTCATGATCCACCTGGCTGACTCCCACAGCCTCTGGTACCCATATGTTCACAGGTTTTCCTGAGGCTAGGCAGCTCCCACGAGCTTTCTTCGCACACTCTCCCTCCCTGCCCTCCCTACTGGACTCCAGTGTTCTGGGCCTGCCTCTCCCACGGCCTGTCCAGCCATGCATCCCTGCCTTCTGCCTTGCACTGTCCTGGCACCTACTCTCTGTCTCCTTCGTCCTGGGTCTTTGGAAACGCTCAGCTCAGCATTCACATGATTTCTCTTCCCTTCCTTGTAGAAACGTGGTTTCTGTGACAGGAATTTCCATGTATGCATCAATGCCCAGAGTGCTGGTGGCACACACCACCTTGTGGCCTCCTGGAAGTGTGGCCACAAGGCAGCTTCCTGACCAGCTGCCAGGGAACCACACCACATTCTCGCCCTCACTCCTACCTCGCACTCCTACCCTGTACTCCTAGCTGCACTCCTTGTCTAAGTCCTCCTAGTTCCTGCCTGGAGCAGTGGCTGAATCTGGCTCTCCTGTAGTGCTCTGCTCCTCTGGAGGAAGGTGGCTGCAGACCCTGCGTTTGCTCCAGCACATCTGGGGTGGAGTCCTTGGCTCCTGCTCAGCCTACATGGTCGCAGGCAGTGGACCGTGAGCCCTGCAGGGTTGGCTGGGGCCCAGCCTCTGTCCTGGCAGAGCCTGGGCAGTGGCTATGGCCTTTTCTAGCTGTGTGTCTTGTCACTGTATCTTCCGCAGGGTGCCCTTCCGGGGGCTTACCGCCCCATCTTCTCAGCTGAGCTGAGTGTGAGGTGGGCCAGGAGGGCAGAGACACATGTCCTGGGGCAGGTCTGAATGGCATGCAAATCTAGGGTCGAGCCACATTCCTGAGTGTCCACCCCAGCCTGGCAGCTCCCATAGGCCCTTGCAACATAGAACAAGGCCGTGGGGGTCCAGGTACAAGGCTGTGGGTGGCCCAGGGCCTATCTGACAAAGCCAAGGGCGGCCTCTCACCTTCTCGGTCACCAGCTTCTCCTCAGCCACCTCAGGAGCCAGGAAGAAGGAATTGCAGGGGCCTGGAAGACAGAAGTGGGGGTGCCTTCCTCAGTACCTTTGCCAGGCCCGAGCTCACCCCCAGGGTCACCTTGCATACATACCATCGTCAGGGGGCGGCCCCAAGAGCACAGACCCATCCTTGGCCACGAGCACAGAGTCCAGACACAGGTAGGCTGCGGGGTGGGGCAGGGGAGGTGGCATCACACACTGCTCAGGCCCTTGGCCTCCTAGGATTGAATGTGTGTGGGTGCAGCCCTGGCCCTGTGAGTGGGCAGACTTGAGGCTGGGGGCTGCCCCTCCCCCGTCATGCAGACATCATGGAGCTGGACATGGACGGGGTGGGTGGGGGTTGTGCAGTCCCCAGAGGGGATTCTGGGGAGGCTGGGGGATATAGCCCCCTGTCCCTGGCAGGCCCCGAGTCCTAGCCAAGAGCAGCTTGCGCTCAGCGCGCGGGGCCTGAAGGACGTGTTTTTGTCCTGCCCTGGGAGCCGATCCGCAGGGCCCTGTGCACCTGCCTTGCCCCCTCATCCCACCAGCAGCACCGCCTTGCTGGATTCAGGGCGGAGGTCCTGGGCCCTAAGATCCTTCCTCACCCCATGCCAGCTGGATCACCTGGGGGCTCCGCGTGTGTCTGTAGGGCGTGCAGGCAGGTAAGGCACAGGGCCCACAGCTCGTACTCCCTGAAGGGCCGGCCCAGCTTAGATAGGAGGTCCTGCAGGGACAGGCACTGGGGGAGGAAAGAGACAGGGCCTTCCTGTGGGCTGGCCAGGTGACACCCACCTCTGTACTCCAGCACACGCCTGAGCAGGGGCTGGGCAGGGGAGGGTGAGGAAGTTCTAGGGGTGATGGTCACCTTCCACTTTGGGAATGACTGAGCCCTGCTCACCCAGCCCCCTCTGCAGGAAAGTCCCCATCAAGGCCCCAAAGGGCCAGCACTGGTGGCATCTCCAAGACCCCTCCCAAGGCCCCTTGTACACAGGTAGCAGGAGATCCTGTGCCCCATGCAGGGCTGGTTTGCGGGTCACAGCCATTTCTGGGGAAGGTGGCCCTAATGGTGAAGGCAGCAGATGGGCCTGCTGCACTGGCTCTTGGCCATCCACTTTGGGGTGGGCTGGAGGAGGCCCTGGACCCCTGAGGTGGCCAGTTGGGCATGCCCTCAGCTGGACAGAGGTTGTGGTGGAAGAGTGGCAGGGCAGGCAGGAGTGAAGGGGGAGGCAGTGTTCAGCTGGTCGGGGGGAATCACCCACCTGCTCCATGGACACTGCTCCAGGCATCCCCTGTTGCTCTCCAGCAGTCCCAGTGTTGTGGCCTGCTCCCTTCGTGTCCTCAGCACACCTGGACCTCAGCCCAACCTCCTGCAAAGTCTTCAAGGGGCTACTCCGCGGCAGGCGGGGGGCAGGGGGCTCAGGGCTCACAGGCAGGAGCCAGGGGGATGTGTGTGCACGTCTCAGGTGGCGCCTCTTGATGGGGTCCCCATCCAGCTCTTGCAGGTGGCTTCTGGGGTCCTGGGAGAGGCTGGCCAGCTCCTCCTGGCTGTGTCTCTCCCCATTCTGCACAGCCAGTGGCCCTGGCTGGGGGCATGGGGGCTGTGGCAGGCCCTCGGGAGCAGGCAGGGTGTCCAAATCAGCACCCAGGTCCCCGGGAGGCTGCCTGGGCCCCAGGGCTCTTGGCACAGGTGTTCCTCCCTTGGTGCTGTCACATATGTCTGTGTACAAAGCAGACCTGGTCACTGCTGAGATCTCCAGCCCAGGACGGTGCTCCCCTGGCACTCTGTCCCACCCCTGCTCAACCCAGTGATCTTTTGGGGCGCACAGGCAGGGAGGGGCTGAGAGCATGCACAGACGTAGCTTACCCTGTGAGGCCCCAAAGGACTCAATGGAGAGCTCGCGTCTCCCAACGGCCGACAAACTCCGGCACAGGTGGCCGGAGGACGCCGGCCGTGTCTTCTCCCGGCACAGCGTGATGACACTCTGCAGACACGTGTGGCTCAGGCAGGGTCCCACCTACCCACACATGCCCTGAGACAACCTTTCAGAGCTCACCTCCAGGCAGGGCCTGGCCGCTGGGTCCTCGGCCAGCATCCGGTTCAGCAGCACCTCCAGGTCTGCGCTTAGCTGGTGCTCCAGCCCCGGCTCCACCACGAACTCCAGGGCGGCCTTTAGCGTGGCCCCCAGAGAGAAGATATGTGCCTGCACAGTGCAGCCCTGAGTTGTGGAGGTCTTGCCAAGGCAGGCCAACCTCCCCCTCCTGCCCTGTGTGAGGCTCCAGCACCCAGGTCCATGAGGCAGGGGAAGGGCAGGAAGAAATCCCCACTCCTGCCTCCTGCATATCCGCTTTTGGTCTTGCTGTGGGGCCATGCCAGGTCACATGACTGGGGTACACTAAACACTGATGTGGGGTGTAGGCGGGACTGGCAGCTGCCCACAGGGATGCTTTAGTCCAACAGAACAAAAATGCCTTGCAGAGTAGGGGTCTTGGCTGTGTACCCCAGTGTGGGGGTGCCAGCGCAGACTCAGCAAGCTCACTCGGAGAGTTGAGTTTCCATCCTTCCCAGCTCTAGCACTTAGCGTCTTGGGTGCATGGGGTCACTGCTTCGGGTCAGAGCCCAGCACTGCCTGACAGAGAGCTGGTGCTCAGAGGTTGTGCTGCCTGCTGCCATGGCACAGCCGCAGGCTGGGCCTGAGGTCACACACCTGTCATGGAGGTGAGAGTCACTCCCTGAGGGAGACCCCCCTCAAGGTCACACATGTGGAGATCTGAAACTGCCCTCTGCCAACTCCTTGAGGAACTTGCTGCCAACAGCTGGGTGTCTTTAAGACAGGGCACATGATGAATCCACATCCCAGCCACACGAGACCATGGACTTGCCTCCCAGCCACATGAGACCACGGAATCTTCCAGTTACATATGAGACCATGGGACCTGCCTCCCAGCCACATAAGACCACGGGACATTTGACACATATGAGACCATGGGACCTGCCTCGTAGCCATGTGAGACTATGGGACATTCTAGCCACATATGAAACCATGTGACCTGCCTCCTAGCCACGTGAGACCATGGGACCTTCCAGCCATGTATGAGACCATGGGACTTCTCAGCCATATTCAAGACCCTCCCAGCCATGGCTTCTGCCCCCAGCTGCTCATCTACTTGCCCTGGGAGCCCCAGCCCCACTCACCTCAAAGGTGTTCCCTGTGACGTCGAACTCGGGGGGCACGAAGGCACCCTCAGGGTCATCTTGGGCAGAACAGAAAAAGTGGCATTGGGTCACGCACACGAGGCAGAGGAAGGACCCCAGCCCCCTGCCCCCTTTGGCACTCACCACTGAGTGGCTCCATGAAACACACATTCCCACTGGTGTTGAAGGCCAGGCTGTCAGGCGTGATGCAGAGCGTGTGGAAGAGGGCAGCATGGGCCACACTGCGCAGGGCCAGGCTGCACTCCAAGCACACAGCCCATGCCTCCTGCTCGCTCAGGCCACGGTCCCGCAGTGACAGGATGTCAGCCAATGACACGTTTTCCTGCGAGAGAGCAGGTTCAGCCATGGAGAGCTCCATGCTGTGGGTGGGGATTGGGATCAGACTAAGCCCCTTCCTGTGCTGGACATAGGGGAACACCAAGGGATGGAGACACAGCCATGGAGTACAGTGTCACCTCAAGACATACACATGGGACACCACAGATGTTGGCTCCGTGCAGTTGGCACAGAGGACTCAGTCACATGGGGTTCCTTGCACATGGCCAGGCTGCCCAGGCCTGCCCCAAGCTCATGTCTGAACCCATGAGGGCTCCCTGCTCTGCTGTGATGGCAATGGTTGCTACCAATGTCATGGGTGCACACGTTACACACACCACCACCATCACAGTCAAGACACACATAAAATTACATCACCCTGCATGTATGCACACACTGACATGTTAACAGTCCATGTTACACACATGTGCAATCACACTCAGATCTGCCCACACTCACTTGTATGCACATAATAGCCACCTACACAGACATAACGTCTGTGCCATGTGAGGCCTTGTGCTGGCAGGGACTTGGCTGTGGGGGTTGGGGAGAGCAGAGTCCCCTGGACTCACAGGCTGCTTGGGAGACCTGGGATGAACTGTGCCTAGAGCTGGCCCCTTGGTCCATGGCTAATACATGAAAGAGTCAGCCAGCATGCAAATGCACACACAGACACATGGACATGCATGTCCATGCACACAGCACACAATACATGCACACAGAGATGTGCGTGCATAAACAGATGCACTCAGACACACACGTGCTCACACAGACATGCACAGACACTCATACATGTGCATGCACACACACAGTGACAGGGCCAGCTCCAGTGTGTAGCTGAGCCTTGGGTCTGTCCCTGCCCTGCGACTTGGGCACATCCGTGTCCATTCCATTCCTTCATGGAGTCCTGGGTGTGCTTAGTTATGTCACTTTTCCAGGCCCTTCCATCAGCTTTTGTGTCAGCCCCTGTACTAGATGGTGCTTCTGGTCTGTGTTCTGTTGAGGAGAACCCAAAGCCCCCTCGGCCTGGTCAGGAAGGTGTGCGGGCACTGTACACAACGTGCATGAGCACCTACACACACATAAGGCAACACACACACACATGCACAATACGTACAGGGCACTACACACAACACACATGTACACCACACGGATGCATAGTAACACATGGATGCACAAACAACACACACAATGTGTACAGAGCACTACACAACACACATGTACATGCACACATGGATGACAACACACACGCACAATGTTAAGAGCACTACACAACACACACGCACAATGTTACAGAGCACTACACAACACACACGCACACGGATGACACACACGCACAATGTTACAGAGCACTACACAACACACATGCACACGGATGACACACACGCACAATGTTACAGAGCACTACACAACACACACGCACATGCACATGGATGACACACGCACAATGTTACAGAGCACTACACAACACACATGCACACGGATGACACACACGCACAATGTTACAGAGCACTACACAACACACACGCACATGCACACGGATGACACACGCACAATGTTAACAGAGCACTACACAACACACACGCACAATGTTACAGAGCACTACACAACACACACGCACAATGTTACAGAGCACTACACAACACACACGCACATGCACACGGATGACACACCCACAATGTTACAGAGCACTACACAACACACATGCACACGGATGACACACACGCACAATGTTACAGAGCACTACACAACACACGCACATGCACACACGGATGCACAGACAACACACACACATGCAGATGCTCGATGTGTCAGGGCAGTACTTGTGCACAGTGTGGCACTCGGGCACTTGCAGGCACATGCTCTGTGGGCAATAGTCTACAGACCCCATGGCTCATGTTTCAGGAGAACCGGAACTCAGGAACCGGGCCTGAGTCAGCACCATGGTCCTGCTGGCTGCTGCCCACGCCAGCCACCTGCTTGCCCAGCTGGCTGCAGGCGGAGGTGCCCAGAGCCAGGAGCCAGGAGCCCCTCTCAGTGCCTGGCAGGTGGGGTCTGCAGCCTCTGGCTGCTGTTTGAAGAGTTCAGCAGGGCCAGCAATGACCCATGGGTGGTCCTTCTCAGGCTAGCCCCTACTCAGGACAGCCATCTCAGCCCCTCACACCCCAGCAGCGGGACTCAGCTCACACAGGGCAGCAAGGGGAACAGTGGAGGAAGGGAGCAGCCTTGGTTGCAGGTCAGGTGCAGGACTGAGGGCATGGGTAGCATTCACTGGGCACCTCCCGCACGGGGTCCAGGGACCCCACAGTGGTCCTTGTGGGCAGGTGCTGTGTAGGTGTCCAGTGGCCAGTCCCTGAAGGGGTCCTGGAAGAGCACCGAGGGTTTGCATGGAGACGATGTGTGGGGGAAATGAGGTGATTTTGACCCCAGGGAAGCCCTTGGGGGCCCCCACAGCACCCATGAACCTCCCTCTGTTCCCTCCAGGGAAGCTCTTGGGGCGCCACGGCACCCAGGACTCCCCTCTGTCCTGCCCTCCCAGGGAAGTCCTTGGGGTCCCACAGCACCCAGGGCCCTCCCTCTGTCCCCCAGGGAAGCTCTTGGGGTCCCACGCACCCAGGACCCTCCCTCTGTCCCCCAGGGAAGCCCTTGGGGCCCCAACAGCACCCAGGACCTTCCCTCTGTCCCTCACCAGTGCCCAGCAAGGAACTGCCTGGGCTGTGGGGGACCTCAGGTGGGGGCCATGCTCCTTGCAGACCAGGTAGGGTGGTTCCCAGTCAGGATGGTCAGCTCTAGGTAGACCAGTTCCAGGGTCCCTGAGGGCAGGATGAGCTTCCCAGTCAGGCTCTGACCTGGGGGCCCTCTGCCTGCTGGACATTTGGAACTGTGGCTCCGCCCAGGCTCTAGGCCCCCTGCAGTGCCAAACTTGGCTCAGGCTGTGGAAGCTGCTAGGTGAGGGGTCATGGCCTTAACTTCCGGGCATCCCTGTCACCAAAGGGCCTCCTGACGGGCAGCTCCTGCCCAGACCTGGTGGATCTGCCTGAGCCCACCCCCTTGGGAGGGCCACCTCCTCCAGGGAGCCTGCTGGGTTCAGCCATGGGAGAGCTGCCCCCCATCTACTGTGTCCTGGGGGTCCTTGGCCCACACTAACCAGGTAGTACCAGCTGGACCCACACCCAGGGTGAAGCTGTCATAGCATGGTCTCAGCATCTTCTTTGTCACTGTCCCCTACGCCACTGCTACAGGCGTTGTCCCCAGAGGTGGGGCAGAGCTGCTGGGCAAGGGTCAGGTGACACTTTTGTCCTGACCAGGCCCAGGGGCAGCTGCTGCCCGCTCTGGACAGGGCAGGTCCTGCCCAGGTCCCTGTGGCCTTGATCACCTTGGGCCCCTCTTGGGCATCACTGGGCACTGGGTCCCGCACGATCCCATGCCAGTATCCAAGGCCCCCAGGTGTTGAGTGCTGCTCCTGGAGCAGGTGAGGGGGGTGGCCCCGTACAAGTGCAGCTGCCCCACCCTCCGGTGGGAAGCCCCACCATCCCTGCTGCGCACAGTGAGGGGTGTTGGGGAACGGGCCGTGGGTGTGCTGGACAGGTCTTCCGCTGGGTGAGAGTGTGTGGGTGGCAGCCAGGGCTGGGGTGGGGGCTGCCTCTGCGGGGATCTGGGGCGAATCTCCCAGGGGGTGCCCTTTCTTCTCCGTCTAAGCCAGGAGATGGACTCAGGCCAAGGTGTGCTGGCCTCCACATCAGTCAACAAATCCAGGCCACTGTGTGGGCGCGGTGGGCCTCCCGAGAGGAGCTGTTTTCCCAGCTGCCCCCTCCCCAGAGCAGTGCCTTAGCTGGCAGACAACACCTGGCTCTGAGGTACCTGGCTGCCCCGCCACCCTAGTCCAGGGTCTGCCCAGGCCCCCGCCCCAGGGGAAAGTGCAGGACGCAACCCCTGACGGGCCCTGGACCTCCGCCTGGCCACCCTGCCGGTAGTGGACACAGGATGGCTTCAGGGTTCTGCAGACAGTCCGCAGCCAGGGGCCACAGGCTTGACCCCGGGTCCTCGGCCTGCAGAGCGCCAAGGCGAGGAGCTGGGGCAGCCCAAGCCCAGCGCTAGAGGAGCGAGCGCTCTCGCGACGGCGGCCTGGCTCAGCACCAGAGGGCTTCCCGGTGCCAGGGAAGGGGCTGGGCTCCGGGGCTCCCCGCTCCCGCCCCCCAGCCCAGGCAGGAAGCAGCCCGCGGCCCCTCCCCCAGCTCATGACCCGGGCCCCTCGCGAAGCGGTGGCCAGTGACCTCTGCCGCCCACTTGTCCCCTAAAGGGCACCAGCGGGAGCCTCGCAACAGCCAAGTTCCCGCAGCGACGCCGGCCCCGCAGGACTGTCCCGCGCGCGCCTGGGGCCCGGCCCCCTGCGACGAAAGCGTGTAGGGTGCGGGGAGCCAAAACCCCTACCACCAGGCCGGCCCGGAGGAAGGGGGCCGGTAGCCGCGCACCCAGCCCGGCGCCTCGCCGGAGCGCCCTGTGAGCACCCCTCCGGGGCCCTGGGGGCTCACCTCGTCCTCGGGCAGAGTGGGCAGCGGTTCGAAATCGTAGAAGTCTAGGTCCTTGTCCTCCTCGCAAACGCCAGCGGCGGGGTCCATGGCCAGCATCCTGCAGACCGCAGCTCCGCCCGCGTTCGCCTCCGTGTCCGCGCCAGGCCTGGCTCCCGCCCCGGCTCCGCCGCACGCCCCGGCTCCGTGCGCCCCGACTCTGCGCGCCCGGCCACCATGGCAACGCCCCCCGCGGCCCGCCCCCTCCAGGCCGCCCCGCCCGCGCCTGCCGCAGTGTCGCCGAGCGAGGACGCCTGGGGCGGCGCCCACCCTGGCAAGGCTCGCGGGGGGTGGAGGCCGCGGAGGGCTAGAGGGGCTGGGAACCGCGCAGCCCCGGGCTGGGGCTAACCCTCGCCGGAATCTTGGCGCCAGGAGGTGCATATCCGAAACTCGGCCCCCGCCCCCATTTAGTGCTGTCCTGCTGCCAAGGTGAGCGTCGCCCCGGCTGGGGCCTTGTGTAGGGCAGCCCCACCCCCCAGCACAGCCGCTATCGGGAGTGTGGGGGGTGTGCCTCCTCCTCAGGATGGAGCCAAGTCTGGGCTCCCCCAGGAGAGGAGGGCGCCCATGTGGCTGACCCTGTGCTTCATCTTATGCCCAGGCACACGCTAGGCGCTTAATGAAAGCTTGCCAGAACGAGGCAGGGCTTGTTGCAGGTTCTGCTAAGGCTGAGGTTGCTCTGCTGTCCTGTGCCTGGCAGGGTGGGAGGGGCACTTGGGCCAGGGAGAAGCCCTGCTCCCCGCGCCCCCCACCCCAAGTCGCTGACCTGGGGACCACCGTCACCGGGGCGGCTAACCAGGGGGCGTCCGTACTCCAGCGACGGCTCACTCACGCTGGCATGACCTGTAAGCTTGGCTTTGCTAGGTTCAGACATGGTCACGCCACACGGAGTGCCCAGCCTGGGAGAGCCACATGGAGTGCCCAGCCTGGGGAGAGCCACATGGAGTGCCCAGCCTGGGGAGAGCCACATGGAATGCCCAGCCTGGCCCAGCTCCTATCATTGCCACCTTCTGGGAAGTGAACCAGTGGATGGAAGATCTCTCTCTTCCTAATTCTGCCTTTCAAATAAACAAAATAAATCTTGTATTTTCCTTTTTAAATTTTAATATTATTTACACGGTTGAGAGAGGGTGGAGGTTCAGCTACGGAGAGAGATGGGGACATGGGTTTTTTGTTTGTTTGTTTATTTTTTCCTCTCTCTCTTTTTTTTTTCTCCTGTGTCCTAAGGGAGGAGGGGGGAGGGACTGCTCTTTGTTGCCAAAATATCAATGCCAGTGGATGGGGATGGTCATTTGATGCGGGAAAGAGTGTTCCGAGAGTGTTAACTTGGGTAGTTTTGATACTTCTGGGTTGTTAGCTTCACTGCTTAAGGTTTTGAGAAAGGTCTTTCCAAGGTCTGCTGGTTGGCTAAGTCCACCTTAGTGCATCCACAGACCCAGGGACACGCTGCAAAGCTTGGAAGGGAGAATTGTCCAACCTGTTCTGCTTTCCATCATCTGACAAGCCAAGGTGTATTGGCCATCATGTCCCCCACGTGCATCTGGACATGCTGTCCACCACACAGGCATTGGCCATTGAGGATGCCCAGTCCTGACACACACTCCACGGTCAGAGCACGCACCTTAGGATTTTGCTTGTGGCCAGGATCTGAGTCTTCCGGTCCAGTCAGTTGGTCCCCCAAGAAGCCTCACCTGGGGTGACCCCAGATTGACTTCTGCATGTGTCAGCCAGAGCAAGATCAGACTGCCCCCTGCACCAGCCAATGCACATACTGGTGGATGCAAGTTGCCTGGTCAGTTCTGCCCCAGCCCCATCTCTATGCCAATGCTAGGTGCTGTGGCCCAGTGCAGCCTGGCCTCTACTCCAGCCTGTCTCCTGTGCATGTCAGTAAGTGCTACGCACTGGCCCAGCCAGGCATGCCTCCAGTCCTCGCTTTTGTGTGCACTGACCGGAGGTTGCCAATCTTACTTGTCTCAGCCAGCTCTCCCACATGGGTTCCTCGGCCTGACCCAGATATGCCCTCCAGTTCATCTTTTTTTTTTTTTTTTAAGATTTATTTATGTTTATTGGAAAGGCAGATTTACAGAGAGAAGAAACAGAGAGAAAGATCTTCCATCTGCTGTTTTTTTTTTGGGGGGGGGCGGGTATTGGAAAGGCAGATATACAGAGGAGGAGAGACAGAGAGAAAGATCTTGCATCCAATGATTCACTCCCCAAGCAGCCACAATGGCCAGTACTGTGCCGATCTGAAGCTAGGAGCCAAGAGCTTCTTCCGGGTCTCCCATCGCATGCAGGATCCCAAAGCTTTGGGCTACCCTTGACTGCTTTCCCAGGCCATAAGCAGGGAGCTGGACAGGAAGTGGAGCCGCTGGGATTAGAACCAGCATCCATATTGGATCCTGGTGCATTCAAGATGAGGACTTTAACTGCTATGCTATCGCACCGGGCCCCATCTGCTGGCTTACTCCCTAAATGACTGCAATGGCCAGAGCCGAGTTGATCCAAAGCCAGGATCCAGGTACCAGGAGAGTTTTCTCGGTCTCCTACAAGGGTGCAAGGTCCCAAGGACTTGGGTCATATTCTGCTGTTTTCTCAGGTCCCAAGCAGGCAGCTGGATGGGAAGCAGACCAGCCGAGATACAAACTGGTGCTTACATAGGATCCCAGCTCTATGAGCCGCAGTGCCCCCTCTGAAGCACCCCTTCTCAGCTCCCTCGCCCAGCTGCAAGTGCAGCGGCCCAGTCCACAGAAGACCCAAGAAGTCATCCCTCACTAGTTAAACATGCCCTCAGCCACTGCTCCCCCAACACGGCCACAGCCCCCTGTGCTGTATGCCTGGGGCCAGAGCGATGTATCCTGCCCAGTGTTCCCTGCCTACAGCTGTGTGGTGAGCTGTGTTTTCCACATAGCTTAAAAGATAGAATAGGCAACTCTGCTGGCACACTGGTATAGGTGACAGTTTGCATGAACCTGGCCCACAATGCCTGCCAGGCCCTGGCTGCTTTTCTCCCAGCAGTGGAATATTTGCCTAGGGACAAGGTAACCTGGGCCGTTGCCTATAGCAGAGGACAAATCAACAAGGCTGGTTATTATTCTCCACTTTGTTTTGCTAATGGCTGTCTACATAAGTCAGTGTTCACGACTAAACTCATTCTGAATTCATGGACTGAACTCCCCTGCGGTGTGTTACCACTGCCCAGCATGTGTGTCTCCCACATTTATCTCTCATTTGCTGCTCACTTCCTAAAGGCCACAATAATGCAGAGCCAGATAGGGATCAGAAGCCTGATTCCACTTGGCCTCCATTGCTTAGGGTCACAGCTGCTGGAGGGGTCACAACTGCTGGAGGGGAAGGGGCTGCCCTAACATTGGAGAGTCCACTGCAATCCCCATGGAGGACCCAGCTGCAGGAGCCTGTGGAGGAGCCATGGCTTCAGGGCGGGCTTTCTCAGCACTCCTGGACCCACAGGCAGACGAGCGCGGAGCCAGTGAGGCATCTCCCAGAGGAATCGGTGCTGACTGCCAGTGTCCAGGCACAAGTGCTCTCTCCGCCCCATGTGTGTCCTTGCGTGCAGCTGCTGCAGAGCTAGTGGGCACAGTAACTCCTGGCATGGTTTAGCCACCAGGACAGAGGCTGGTCAGAATGGGCACCTTGCATGCTTACACACACCCACAAACATGGCACGCAGAGGCAGCCCACACACATGTACACACACCCACAAACATGGCATGCAGAGGCACAGCCCACACACACATGTATACACCCACCCACAAACATGGCACGCAGAGGCACAGCCCACACACATGTACACACACTCACAAACATGGCACGCAGAGGCAGCCCACACACATGTACACACACTCCAGCACACCCAAGTGCACACTGATGTGCCCGGCTGTACGTGCACATCACACACACGGAAGAAAAAGACAAAAGCTGGCTTGCAGTGGCAGGTGAAGAGACTGGCTGACTGTGCCGCCTCCTGGTTCTGCGGGTTCTGGGCTGCGGGCTCCTAGATGTGGCCACAGCAAGTGTTCTGATGCTCCACAGTACGTCGTGTGCAGATGGACACGTCATGACATGGTCCTGTCTGGGCTGGCACAGCATGGGACATTAACCACATGGGCTGTGGGCAATCTGGCAGGTCAGGAAGGGCCATGTGGCCAGCACTTTGGCCCTGTCCCATTCTAACTCAGTGCCATGCTCCCAGTAGCTGCAGGGGTTAGTAGGTGAGAGGCACACACAACCAGCCTCACACAACAGAGTGCAAAATTCTGTATTTTTGTGGGGAGGGTTTGTGTCTACAGCGAGCACACAGTGTGGCCCCAGGGCCCAGCCTGCACTGGCCATGGAAGCTGCAGGTGGGCAGGCCACATGGGAACATGGACTGAGGCCTGGGGATGGCCACCTGCCCAGCTGACTGACCCAGGTGAGGCATGAGGCGCCTGGCGGGTGGAGCGAGTGAGTTACAACCTCATTGGCGGAGGCAGGGTTCTGAGTCCCTTGGCCGGGCAGAAGCCACCCACCCTGGAGGTGCCAGAAGCCTCACATGCTGTCCCCTGCCCCGAAGACAGAGCTCATGGGAAATGCCATCCAGGTGGACACAGACACAGCGTCTGCAGGGTGGACAGCTGGAACTCAGTTGGAAAACGCATGACAGTGTCACTAGGGTGCAGGCATGCACGCACACAACTGCACACATGTACTTGTGTGTGGACACATGGGTGTGTGGCACCCACTGGGTGTGCAGCTGTAGTCTGTAGTGCCTGTGTACGCACACCCTTGTGAACAGTGTGAGCCCCAATGTGCTGTGTGTACACCAAACCAGCTCAGTACAGCCAGAGAGGAAGCAAAGAGGCGCCGGGCTGGGCTCTGTCTGGGAGCTGGGCGCCCTGGGCAGACAGCAGTGCTAACGTGCAGCCTGCAAGTCCCATACCCTGGCAGCTGTCCCCAGTACCACTGTCCCCAGGGTGCTGCATATCTGGGCATTTCCAGGGTGACTGGACCCTTCCTTTCCAGGGCCTTCCAGAGCAAGGCCTGGCTCCCAAGTGCCTGTGTGGGCGAGGTTACCTGGTAACAGGTAGGCCGCTGCAGGCCCGGTGTTTGGGCGGCCCTGGGCGGGGAGCATTGCCTGTGAGCAGCGGGTGCCTCTGGCCCTGAGTGGGCAGGGTCCAGGGTCTGCAGGGCCGTGAGATGCTGCTTGCCAGGCTACACGGTCGTCTCATTCCTCCAGGGCCCCGTCCGGATGTTGCCTGTTCCGTCGGTGCCGTAGGGCAGTGGGGTGCGGGTGTCACCCTTGAGTGGCCCGTTCTGCCCTGGGCTTCCGAGGGGCAGGGACTGTGTCCGGTGCAACAGCTCCAGGGACCCAGGCCGCAGCGCGCACCCGTAGAGCCCAGGGCTGGTCTCGCCGTCTTCGGCCTGGCCGACCACCGCGAAGGGGTCGGCCTGGGCACAGCAAGGCAGCGCGTGCGGCACGCTGGGGCCGTCCAGGGAGCTGGGGGCGCTGTCCGAGTGGGAGCTGCGGGGGCTGCCGTCCAGGCTGGACCGGAGGTGGTAGGCGTACTCGTGCCCGCCGAAGTAGGGAGCCTCGGGGCCGGCTCGCAGGCAGCGGTGCAGGTGCGCGCCGTGCGCGAAGGTAGGCTCCTCACAGGGCTCCGCCTCAGCCAGCTGCTCGCAGTGCATGGCGGCGCAACAGGGCGTGGCCGGCGACAGGCAGCTGGCGCGGCCCTGCGCAGCCTGCAGGTTGGTCACCTTGCAGTGGCCGGTGAAGGCCCGCGGCTGGCCGGGTCGCGGGGAATCCTGTAGGCAGGCGGCGGGCCCAAGTGCGTCCCCGTTGGCGTCGAGCGTGGGACACTGGCCGAGTGGGCCGTGCGCCGGGCGGCAGGACCACCAGCATCGCCACACGTCCTCGCGCTTGGCGCAGTGGTGGATGAGCACGAAGAGACCGAGCGTCACACAGAAGGCGCCGTAGAGGCAGCTGAAGACCATGTCCAGGAAGGGGCCCTGGGACACGGCCAGCGCCCCAAAGGCCCACGTGGCATCGAAGAGCAGCAGCGTAAAGGCCGTGGCCCGCAGCTGGGCCTTGAACGAGTGCTCGTTCTGCAGCCGCGAGGGCGCCGGGGCCTCGCAGGCAGGCGGCGTGGCAGGCGCCCCGCGGCCCGGGCCTGCCTCGGGCATCGCCAGGCGTTGCCGCTCCTCCGTGCATCCGCGGAGCTCGTACCTGCGCTCCGGATGGCGCCGCAGCTGTACATAGGTGCCCAGGAAGTACACGCAGGTGACCAGGGTGATGCAGGCGGTAGGTCCGTAGAAGGCGCCCAGGCTGGGCTCCCAGGCCATCCAGCAGCTGTGGGGAGAGTTGGTCAGAGTGTGCCTGACCTCGGGTGAGGTTATTCCAAGTTGGTGAATTTTGCGGCAGGAACAGGGGTGGCCAGGCATGTGCACTGGGCAGGTGGGACGGGAGAGGGGTCAAGCACAGGGCTGGGCAGAGGCTCGGGGACTGGAGAGGTGGAGTGCCAGGCTGTGTCCACCTCAGCTGAAGTCCACGTGCTCAGCCCTTCCCTGTGTGTCTGGGGGCTGAGGAGTGAGACCAGAGGGGCTCTGCACACCCCGAGAGGGACCAGGAAGGCAGCAGGGCCCCTTCCCCCGCCCCCTCCCCTAGGGTGGGGACTCTTGTGGCCAGGGTCCAGGGCAGCGGCCTGCACAGTGGTGGTACTCACTAGGCCACATCCGCATCCTCCGTCCCGTAATTGCCGATGTTGGTGGCCGCCGTGACCCCGCAGATGATGAATGGGACCCCCCCACTGAGGAGGTAAAACCTGTAAGGACCAGTCAGGGGCTCACTCCCTGGGGACAGAGGCGGCCAGGAGCGGCTGGGTGCCCCAGGCCTGGCCCTGCAGTGGGGAGCTGGAGGGGGTGGGGAGGTCCAGGCAGGTACTGGCCTCTGTCATCCCCGTCGGAAGTGGTGGCCTTGGGAAAGACCAACAAGCAGGAATCCCATCCCCAGGTAGCCCAGCCTGTGGGACTGAGCATGGGGTCCCTCAGGATGGGCAGTGTGTGGCAGGACCAGCCCAGGGGTCTTGCTGCCCTGGCAGGTGAGAGGGGCCTGGTCTTCTGGAATTCCAGATAGGAAGGCCCCCTGGGAGCCCGTGGTTGCCATCTCTCTCCAGCACCTGACCTGCCCGTGAGGTCCTTCAGGTTGGGCCCACAGGTGGCATGGGGTCAGGACAGTGGTGTGGGAGGGGATGTGAGTAAGCACTGGCCAGTGAGCTGCCTGGACCCCAGCATCTCACCCATACCCAAAGCACCAGCTCTGGTCCTGGCTGTTCCACTTCCTGCCCAGCTCCCTGCAGATAGATGGGCACACAGTGAGCATGCCCAATGCCAGGCTCCTGCACCCAGGTGGGAGTCCTGGTGGAACTCCTGGCTTCAGCCCTGAGTACCACAGCCAACTGGTGGGTGAGCAGGCGGACAGAACACCTCTGCCTCTCCCCCACTCTCCCCACTGTTCTTTTAAATTAAAATAATGTTTTTTTTCAACTAAGAAATCTTCATATTCCCTGAAGAATTCCCGTACCTGCATCGGTGATAACCAGGGTGTTCAGAAAGTTCTAGGAAAATGGAGCATAAGACTAGTGTGTTTCAATGCAGGCCTTACCTCCAGCTGACATGCAGAGGGCCTTAGTCAACAGATAAATTCATGGAAGATTGTAGTACACAAAATCCGATTCAAAATGGATAGGGGTGTGGTGTGTGCTCTGTGTGGTGTGTGTTCTATGTGGTGTGTGCTCTGTGTGGTGTATGTTCTGTGTGCTCTGTGTGGTATGTGTGTTCTATGTGGTGTGTGCTCTGTGTGGTGTATGTTCTGTGTGCTCTGTGTGGTATGTGTGTTCTATGTGGTGTGTGCTCTGTGTGGTGTATGTTCTGTGTGCTCTGTGTGGTATGTGTGTTCTATGTGGTGTGTGCTCTGTGTGGTGTATGTTCTGTGTGCTCTGTGTGGTGTGTGTGTTCTATGTGGTGTGTGCTCTGTGTGGTGTGTGTGCTCTGTGTGGTGTGTGCTCTGTGTGGTGTGTGTGCTCTGTGTGGTGTGTGTTCTATGTGGTGTGTGTGTTCTGTGTGGTGTGTGTGTTCTATGTGGTGTGTGTGTTCTGTGTGGTGTGTGCTCTGTGTTCTATGTGTGCTCTGTGTGGTGTGTGTTCTGTGTGATGTGTGTTCTGTGCTCTGTGTGGTGTGTGTGCTCTGTCTGGTGTGTGTGCTCTGTGTGTTCTGTGTGCTCTGTGTGGTGTGTGTTCTGTGTGGTGTGTGTTCTGTGCTCTGTGTGGTGTGTGTGTTCTATGTGGTGTGTGTTCTGTGTGGTGTGTGCTCTGTGTGGTGTATGTTCTGTGTGCTCTGTGTGGTGTGTGTGTTCTATGTGGTGTGTGTGCTCTGTGTGGTGTGTGTGCTCTGTGTGGTGTGTGTTCTATGTGGTGTGTGTTCTGTGTGGTGTGTACTCTGTGTGGTGTGCTCTGTGGTGTGTGTGTTCTGTGTGGTGTGTGTGCTCTGTGTGGTGTGTGTTCTGTGTGGTGTGTTCTGTGTGGTGTGTGTGCTCTGTGTGGTGTGTGTTCTATGTGGTGTGTGCTCTGTGTGGTGTGTGTTCTCTGTGTGGTGTGTTCTGTGTGGTGTGTGTGCTCTGTGTGGTGTGTGTTCTGTGCTCTGTGTGGTGTGTGCTCTGTGTGGTGTGTGTGCTCTGTGTGGTGTGTGTGTTCTGTGTGGTGTGTGTGCTCTGTGTGGTGTGTGCTCTGTGTGGTGTGTGTGCTCTGTGTGGTGTGTGTTCTCTGTGTGGTGTGTGTTCTGTGTGGTGTGTGCTCTGTGTTGTGTACGTTCAGTGTGGTATCTGTGTTCTGTGTCCCATGTGTCATGTTTTCCGAGTGTTGTGTGTTTGTGTTTGATGACTTTAGTCCCATTGGGCAGATTGTATTGAAGCTGGAATGGCATGTGCCGCCATGGTCACTGCACAACTCAGGAGTTTGAAAGCAGGCAGGGCCTTGGGCCACATCATTTCTAAGGGCTGAAGGGCAGACAGGTGTGGAGGAGCCGGGCTGAGATGTAGGTCAGGGTGAAGGGTGGGAGGTGCTGGGAAAGCCCTGTCTGCTTGCCCCTCTGGCCCCTCGTGCTCATGGTGTCGAGCCAGAAGTTGCAGGACCTGGCCCCCCATCCCTCAGGCCCAGATGGCTTCTCCTGAACAGCCAGGGAGCAACTGGGTGCTGCTGGTGCCACGTTCTGTGCCTTGGGACATGGGAGAGGCCAGCCGGGAGCTCAGGGAGTCAGTGCTCTTCCCTGGAAGTCAAGCCCTTAAAGCACCAGAGGACAGGCATCCAGGGGTGTCCTGGGCATCAGGGTGTTCAGGGTGTCCGGGCTGTCTCGAGGTGTCCAAGTGTGTCTGGGGGGTGTGCAGGGGTGTCTGGGCATGCCTGAGCGGTCCAGGGGTGTCCGGGGTTGTCCAAGCGTGCCCAGGGGTGTTAGGTCTATGTCCAGCGATGTCTGATGGTGTCTGAATGTGCCTAGGTATGTTTAGGGGTGTCTGGAAGTGCCTGCGGATATCTGGGGGTGTCTTAGTGTGTTCACGTGTGTCCATGTGTGTCTGGGGGTTTGCAGGGGTGTCTGGAATGTTCAGGGGTGTCTGGGAGTGTCTGAGTGTGTTCAGGTGTGTTCAGGGGTGTCTGGGGGTGTCCAGGCAGACAGGCACAAGGCAACAAAATAACAACATCATGATCCCTCAGAGCACTCAGCCATCAGCTAGTGCCTGGTGGTCTCTCGAGTGCTGGTCAGTGAGGCCACCACATGGAGGGAGCAGCCCCTGGCCAGTGTGGCCATCCTTCTCAGTGACCTTGCTGGGAAGTCCACAGAGAGAAGCAGGAAGACTCCTGGGCTCCGCCTGTCTCTTCAGAGCCAGGAGGCACCTGATTGGTCACAGGAGAGGAGATGGTCTCAGAGAGATTTTCAGACCCAGGGGACCCTGCAGGAGACGCAAGCCCCAGGACCGGGGGCAGCAGAGACCCCCAGGCAGGTGGGCAGAGGAATCAGCTTTGTTCAGGGAGGCACTGCAGCTGCATGGGGCAGCCTTTGCATTCAGGGCCAGAGGGAGTCAGGCCAGAGTTGGGGGCCGCAGCCTCCATTTGCCAGCCACCCTGTGAGAGCTGCAGGCAGACTGTCTCCCACCAGCACCCGGCCCCAGGCCAGGGCAGTGCCAGGTTGGGGTGGCCCTACTGGGGACAGCAAATGGCAGTAGGTGTGAAGGGTCTGCTGTAATCAGCTGAGGCATTCCTGGTGGTCAAGTGCCAATTGCTCCTTGGAGCCCATGTTTCTCACATACACGAGTCAGGTCCAGTCCACGAGGTACCCCTCTCTCTGGCATCCCCTCCCCCAGGTGCCCTTGCATCCTGACCCTGGGTGTGGGCAGCTCACCACAAGGTGCGTCCAAGCACAACCACATTCCTACCTGGTTTAGGGTGAATCCCCTCAAGAGAGGCAGAGAGTTCCGTGGGGGCAGCACGAGGGGGAAAGCCACCTGCCCATCATCCACCATCCCCTTGGAAACAGCATAGCTTCCCCTTGGAAGCCCCAATACACCCAGAGAAGCCAGAGCCAGAACCCCACCCACCAGGAGCTCCTACACAATCAAACCCTGCCTGCCATGGTTCCTCCCATCAAGTCCCGCCCACCAGAGCTCCGCCCCACCCACCCAGAGCCCCACCCACCCAGAGCTCCTCCCACCGAGCCCCACCCACCCAGAGCTCCTCCCACCGAGCCCCGCCCCAGGATAGTGCTGGGCAGACAGGGTCCTCAGGGGTTGAGACCCTGTGCAGTTGGCGAAGACCCAAGGTGGGAAGGGACGTGGGTGAGAGCCTGATACCTGAGCAGGGGCTGCTTGGCATCCGGCCGCTCTGCACCAGAGCACGGTGGGGCTTTCCTGGTCACCTGCTTGTAGATATTCCTAGCGGTCACCAGGATCCACAGCGAGCTGGACAGTGTGGAGTAGTGCAGTGCTATGCCCACCTGGGAGGGGACAGTGGTCAGCCATGCCCCACCGTTGGGCTGCTCAGCCCCTTCTGCCCCCTCCAAGAGACCACAAATAAGGGCCTGGACGCACAGGGAGACCCTGGGCGGCCTGGCCCTGTTTCTCCGCTGAGGATGCCCTGGGGCCCACAGCCTCACCCAGGCGTCTGCCAGCAAGAGGAGGGCAGAGGCAGAGGCAGGGCGCCCCAACACCAATGGACACATGGACATGGACAGGAACTGGATCCCACCATACCCCCAGAGCTCCCTGCCAAGCGGGTTCTGACCCCCCGCTGCCTCTGAGCCCCAGCTGGGTCTCTTCTGGGGGGAGGTGAAAGGTTACCATGATGAGGGGCAGGAGGCCCCAGGCTGAGCAAATGCCAGGAGCACCAAGGGGTGCCCCATGTGCCCAGGTGGGACCTCAGCACGGGGTGGGAGTGGAGGAGGAAGACAAGGAGGAGAGGCAGACCGAGCACACCAGGGGTCTCCTGGACCCAGGCCTATGTGGGTGCAGGGTTACTGTGCAACACCGCTGGCCACCGCCTGTCTGGTGGTGATGTCACTCTGTTGCCATAACAACCGTCACCCTCCACAGCCATCAGCACTGGACGGCTCTGTCTGGCCCTGGGAGCCTGCCCTGACAGGCGGCGTGGACGTTTGTCCAAGCTGGGACCTCACTGGGAGCCTTGGACCCTCCCCCACTCTGACCAGGCCAGCCGGGCTGGTAGCACTCACCGCCTGGCACAGGACTGGGTACTTGGTGCGGTTGATGCCGCCGGCAAACACGGTGAAGGTCAGGGCTGCCTGGAGGCAGAAGTTGAGGAGTGCGTGCCGGCCCTTGCGGCTGATGCGGATGGCACTGGGGAGCGACCGCAGGTCAGGAGAGGCCCTCTCCTGCAGGGCTGCAGCTGGCCCAGCAGGGGGGCAGGAAGGGAGTGGGGGCTCAGTGCCCACACTCAGGCCAAGACACGGGCTGTGGCTGTGGCCATGGCCGGGACTGACGGCCGTGGATTCCCAACCATGCCTGCGGCTCAGGTGCTGCCCCATGCTTGACCCCCTCATGTCTCCCACCTGTTCCTAGGTGCTGCTAGCACCCTGGGGTCACCCCACCCAGCACAGAGGGGGCCGAGAGGCAAGCTCAGACCATGGTGCAGGGCTGGGACAAGTACCCAGCTGGAGGGGTGCCCAGGGAGGGGATTGGGAGCCCTGCTCACCTCTGGTGCACGACGTAGGTGAGCACGGAGGCACACAGGCACAGCAGCATGACTGCGGTGCAGGCGTACACCACAGGGTGCAGGAAGTCCCCTGGGTACTGGGGTAGGGAGAGCACGCTCTTCAAATCCTGCAGGGGGTGGAAACCCTGTGAATGGCACCCCCACCCCCACGGCAGACCCATCCCCCAGGGCAGCTCCAGTCCTGGTGACCTTCTGGGTCCTGGAAAGGCTGGAGGCTGAGGAGGATCTGGCCTGGGGGGCGCTTGGACCTGGCCTGGCCAGCCCAGGGGGCACTCAGAGCCAGCCCGGCCAGCCCAGGGGGCACTCAGAGCCAGCCCGGCCAGCCCAAGGGGCACTCAGAGCCAGCCTGGCCAGCCTGGCAGTGGGCGCTCAGACCTGGCCTTGCGAGCCTGGGGGGTGGTGTTGGGGAGGGGTGTTCAGAACTGACCCACTCAGCTTGGCCAACCGGAGTGTCTTTAGCCACCGCAAGCCCACTCAGACACCCCACACCCACAGGCTCTGCAGACCAGGCCCCCAACCCATTCAGGCACCCATGGGTTCTGCACCCATGGGCCCTGGGTTCTGCTACCCCAAGGCGCAGTACAGGGTCAAAGTTGGGTTCCTGGGTGGGCGTGTCTCCGAGCGAAGCCACCGTGGGGGAAGGCTGGGTCCTTCTCTTCTCCCACCGTAACTAATGGCCAAATATGTCTGGGAGGCAGTGGGCTGGCTCTGGTTTGGGGTCTTTGCCACCCTCTTTGGGGCTACCCTGGCCTCTAAGGGTGTTGGGGAGTGAGCTGGGGAATGGGAGTGTGTCTCTCAAGCAAAATGGGAGAAAGCCCCCAAACCATGAGGCTAAGAGGGTCTCAGGCCAGAAAGTCTGGAAGTGGCGCGGATTCCTGACTGTGCTATGGTCACACCCCTGCCGGCCTGGGCTGGTGCCCTGCTGCCCGCTGTGTCCACCCCTCAGGGGCAGAGGTGTAACGCTGCGCCTGGGATGGCCTTCGCTTTGGTGCAGTGATGCCAGAGATGGGAGCCTTGACACCCAGCAGCCAACACGCCCCCGGCGTCCCCTGGGAGTCCACGTTGGCCTAGCTGCTGCAGTGCTGAGAGCGTGTGCCTGACCTGTGGCGTGCCAGCTTCCCCTCTCTCATTGCTCTCGGTTCAGCTGAATTTGTCATTTTCAGGGTGTTCTACCAACCACCAGCCTGGCCGCTGAGAAACATGGGAAGAAAGAGAAGTCGGGCAGAAAGAGCGGCCTCGCCTCACTCAAGGCTGACCCCGGCTCCCAGGGGCGTGCGAGCGACACCTTGGCCAGGGCAAGGGGGCCTGTGGGGATTTCTGGGTCTTCCGCCTGGTGTCCCTGGTTTTGCCGTTTTTCCTCCTGGTTCTAGGGTAATGGAGAGGCTCTCACCAGTGTCTACCTTCCAGGGAGATGAGTGTCGGGTTGCCAACATTGTTGAAATGCCAAGGTGGAATGCGAAGCGTTTATGTGGTCAGAGCACAGGCGACCTTAGGGGCGCTGGCTGAGTCTGTGGTCTCCCTCACGGAGGGGGTGTGATCCGGAGAACCAGACTGACATGTCCAGGTGTCCCCTCTGGACCAGCGGTTCACAATGCAAGTTCTCGAGTGAAGGGAATGGGTGGGATGACCGACCAATCAGCTGTGTAGAAGCTTCCAGCAATATAGAGCATGAGTGAAGGGAGAGGCAGGAAGTCAAGGACATGAAGCAGCTATGTGGTGGCGTCGGTCAGTGGGTGGTCTCTGCACCTGGCGGGCGGCGAAGTGGATGCAGGGAGTGGCCGCTGGGCCACAGCAGGCGGTGAGATGGACACAAGGAGTGGATGTATGAAGAGGTCGCAGGCCCTGGGTCTGACACGAGCAGAAGCCCCGCTCGCTGCCTCCCCATTGGCAGTCCTAGAGATCCATGACACATTCAGCCAAAAGGAGAAACACAAGAGTGGCAGAGTCCACATGCAATAGCTGCCTGTCTACACCGCAGCATCCCACACTGCCCTGTCCACACCACAGGATCCTACACTGCCCTGTCCACACCGCAGGATCCTACACTGCCCTGTCCACACCACAGCATCCCACACTATACTGTCTACACAACAGGATCCCACACTGCCCTGTCCACACCGCAGGATCCCACACTGCCCTGTCCACACCACAGGATCCTACACTGCCCTGTCCACACCGCAGCATCCCACACTGCCCTGTCCACACCGCAGCATCCCACACTGCCCTGTCCACACCGCAGGATCCTACACTGCCCTGTCCACACCGCAGCATCCCACACTGCCCTGTCCACACCACAGGATCCCACACTATACTGTCTACACCACAGGATCCCACACTGCCCTGTCCACACCACAGGATCCCTTGCTGCCCTGTCCACACCACAGGATCCCACACTGCCCTGTCCACACCACAGGATCCCTTGCTGCCCTGTCCACACCACAGGATCCCACACTGCCCTGTCCACACCGCAGGATCCCACACTGCCCTGTCCACACCACAGGATCCCTTGCTGCCCTGTCCACACCACATGATCCCACACTATACTGTCTACACCACAGGATCCTACACTGCCCTGTCCACACCACAGGTTCCCACACTGCCCTGTCCACACCACAGGATCCCTTGCTGCCCTGTCCACACCACAGGATCCCACACTATACTGTCTACACAACAGGATCCCACACTGCCCTGTCCACACCGCAGCATCCCACACTGCCCTGTCCACACCACAGGATCCCACACTGCCCTGTCCACACCACAGGATCCTACACTGCCCTGTCCACACCACAGCATCCCACACTGCCCTGTCCACACCACAGGATTATACACTGCACTGTCTACACTGCAGGATCCCACACTGCCCCGTCCACACCGCAGGATCCCACACTGCCCCGTCCATACCACAGGATCCCACACTGCACTAGCCACACCACAGGATCCCACACTGCCCTGTCCACACCGCAGCATCCCACACTGCCCTGTCCACACCACAGGATTACACACTGCACTGTCTACACTGCAGGATCCCACACTGCCCTGTCCACACCACAGGATTACACACTGCACTGTCTACACTGCAGGATCCCACACTGCTCTGTCCACACCGCAGGATCCCACACTGCGCTGTCTACACCACAGGATCCCACACTGCACTGTCCACACCACAGGATCTCACTCTGCCCTGTCCACACCACAGTATTACACACTGCACTGTCTACACCACAGGATCCCACACTGCACTGTCCATACCGAGGATCCCACACTGCGTTGTCCACACTGTAAGATCCCACACTATGCTGTCTACACCACCCAAACTCACACTGCACTGTCCACCCTGTAAGATCCCACACTGCCCTGTCTACGCTGCTGGATTCCACACCACAGGATCTCACTCTGCACTGTCCACACCGCAGGATCCCACACTGCCCTGTGCACTGCAGGATCCACAGGGCCTTTTCCATCGCACACATTGTCCCATGATGTGAGGAACACATAACTAGATTATTGTGGGGAGCTGATTATCCCTTATCTGGAGGAATGAAACCCGAGTCTATAGGTGAGGAGACATGTAGAAATGGTCTACTGTGAGGAGAGAATGCCTGAAGGCTTAACGTGCAGACACCACACCTGCATGAAAAGCAGGCACCTAGGAGGTCAGTGCTGTGGTGTAGCTGGTAAAGTTGCTGTCTGTGGGGCCGGCACAGGGACACTCTAGGAACAGGGCTACCGTGAAGGGCAGGGCCACTGCGAGGGGCAGGGACACTCCAGGGACAGGAGCACTGTGAGGGGACATGAGAGCGAGTGCTCAAAGGCTCAGCATTCTACCTGCTTGCGCAGGTGCTGTCCTGAGAGGTGGCCCTCATGTCGGGGCCTGGGACTTGGGTGGGCAGCTGCAGGCAGGTGCCCACAGACAGGCAGCAGCTGAATGGGCCGGGTCAGGAGGGTCAAGGTGGCCACAGCCTTCTGTCCTTCCGTCCCTGGGTCCTAGGGTCTACATGTATGCAGGTGATGTATTTCTGCATGGACACTCCAGGGACAGGGATACTCCAGGAACCCCTGGAGTGCATCTTGAGACCCCTCCCCAGGCCAGCTAGTTCAGCTTTCAATCCAAGATTCTGAGAACATGAGCTGTGGCTTGCCCCCACCTGGCAATGCCCTGGGAAGGCGCTGCCCCCACCACCCAACCCCCATTGACACCGTGCATTTCGTGTTTGTCCCAGGTCTGAGGCTGAAAACACAAGAGAGGTTATTCAGGAAACAGGTGTCTGATTCTGGGAGCCAGGGGGCCCCAGGCCCAGCCACTGGGTGGTCAGCGTGTGCGTCCCCTTGTGGGGATTCTGGACAGAATGTGCTGGCTGGCCTTGGGCTGGGAGCCGCGAGAAGGGGTGACGAATCCAGCCAAACACATCTCGTGAGTTTGGATGTTTGGAATCAAACAATAAGTTGAGTCGGAGACCCCGACAGAGCCCTCCTTGTGAGGCGGGTACTCATCCCAGCCCGACCACGGACGCCCTACACTGTCCTCCAGGGCCATCAGCATTCTCTGCACGTGCCCAGTCCGTGGCCGCCTGTCAGCTGTGCCCGACCAGCACACACACTGCATTATTCACACAGCCGCCGGCTTCCCTGCAGCCACGGGCTGGCGCTCACAGGAGCCTTGGGGAGGCTGCTGTGGGTCCTGCTGTGGGGTCCTGCTGGAGCAGACGGCGCCCTGCGTGGAGTCTTCCTCTGTTCCCCCTCCCCAAGCTCCCCACTTTGTGATGGGAGGGGCTGCTAGGCCCGACATGGTGTCCACGTGGCAGTGTGATGTGAGCCCACGGGGAGCTTGTCACCTCTGCTGATGAAGCGATCCGACACTGCCAGCGGCCGCAGCTCATGCCAGCCAGTAGGAACCAGCCCTTGCGGCCCCGCCCCCAGCTGGGACACCAAGGCCTCTGCCCCAAGCAGCTGCCCCTAGCTGGCCTGGCCTAGTTCCTGGCCAGGTACTTACCATGGGCACTGGGAGTTACGGTGTGGGCACCGGTGGAGCTGGGGTCACTGCTCGGGGGTCACGTGGTGCCCTTCTCCCTGCCAGCCGCCATGGCCACCCAGAAGGTCAAAGTCCCACACAGCGACCCTGGGCTCCGGCTTCCCCAGGAGGTGCCCAGGGTGGCTGTGCCAGGGCCAGCACGGCTCCTGAGGCTCACTCATCTGCAAAGACAGCGCATGGTCAGTGCGTGGCACCGGGGTCTTGCCTGCCCTGCTCCTTGCTCCTGCCGCAGCCCAGCCCACCAGGGCCACAGGTAGCAGCCGCCCGCCGTCCTCCCACCCGGAGCTTGCCTCCCTCTCAGTCTCTCAGCTGCTAGCCTGTGCCAGCTGCCAGCTCAGGGCCCTGGGGGCCTGGGGATCTGAGGTACCACGGTGCCTTCCAGCAGACACTGCCCTTGGGGATGGCACGGCCCGGAGGACCCAGCGAGCTGGCCACCCCGAGGCAGCAGTGCCCACGGAGCCACACGTACGATCCGTGTTTCCCACTGAGACCCGAGTGCCTTGAGCCAACCTCTCCAGGTTCAGCAGGCCGGTGGGCGGAACCTTCCGCTGCGGCTGCGGTCGGGCCTCCGGGCTGGCGACTCCCCGCGCCGGGACCGCTGCGTCCCCGGCTGCTTGGCGCTGGCGACCGGGCTGAAAGTTACTCGGAGCCCGCTGTCTGGGCGGCAGGAATCGCCCAGCCCTGCGCTAGCGCTGCTGCAGCAGCGCGGCCCTGCCGAGTGGACACTGCGGCCAGCGGCGGCCCCTGGCACGTCCGGCTGCCTCCCACCCTCGGCTCGCGGCTCTCCCCGGGGCGAAGCGGCCCAACTTCTCACCTATTCCGGCAGAAGCGGCTGGAGAGGCGCGGGCGCGAGCGAGGGCAGCGATCAACAGATTGCAGGGCTGCGGCCGGCGCCCGCAGCGCCGCTCTCCGCGCGGGCTTGGCCGGCGGCTTCCGGCCCCGGAGCCGGGGCGCGCCCGCCTTCCGAGGCGACAGCCGGGGACGCAGCCGGGCCGGGAAGCAGGCGCCGTAACCATGGGGACTGGGGGCGGCGCGGACGGCGACTCCCCGCCGCAGCAATGGTTCTTCCCGGCCGCGCGGCCGGCCGCCCGCCCGTCACACCGCAGCGCCGATTTAAAGAGACACCCGGCCCGCGGCGGCCGCGCCCCGCGAACGCGCCCCCCGGCAGGCGCGCCGCCCGCCCGCCGCGCGCCCGAGGGAGAGCCCGGCTGCCGGGGGGCGCGGAGGGAAGCGGACCCTGGCGGGTGCGCATGGACCTGTGCCGGAGCCACTCGGAGCCGCGGCCCAGCGTGAGTCAGCAGGGCAGGCCCCGCCAGCGCGGGAGAGACCCCGACGCGCCCCCCGCGCCCCCGCCCCGAGAGCCGCTGGCGGGGCGGACTCTGGGTCTCCCCGAAGCTCCGCTCCCGTCGAGGCGCGGCTGATGGACGTCGCCCGTCGGGAGGGGCCGCTGGCCTCGCCTGGCCTCGCCTCAGCGTGCTGGTCCCGTTGGGTCCCCAGGTCGGGGCTTCACCCGCGAGCTGGTGAGGACGCAGAGGCAGGCAGAGCGGATGCGGCGCCACAGCCTGCGCCCCACCTCCTCCTCCCTGGGGTGGCTCTGATGGGCCTGGCAGGTGGTGCCGTTGCTGGGTGAGTCCCCGTGTATGCACAGGGAGAGTGCCTCGGCCCCGGCCCACTCAGAGCCGGTGGGAGGTGTCTGCTTCCGACCCTGGGCGCGGTTCTTGGTGTCCCCGTGGGGTCCTATGCTGGGCGCGAACAGAGCAGCACTCCCGCAGGATGGAAGACTGAGGCACCCAGTCAGGTGCCCTGCGGGGCTCCAGCCCTACTGTTTGTGCAGCTCTCAGGGAGCCCACGGAGGCCCGTGTGAACCCCAGCTGTTGGCCGCTGTGTGCACTCGGGATGGTGTGGCAGCGATGGCAGCTGAGGCTCAAGTCTGACATGGTGGCCTCTCTCCTTGGAGCGAAGAGGGTGTCGCCCCTGGTTGGTGAAGACTCAGGGTGCACTATGCCCCAAGATGCAGGGGTCTGGGCCTTTTCTCTGCATTTCATACACAAGGCTATGCGTCCTGTGTCACAGCTGCCTGTGTACCTGGGAGCACCAAGGGGAGAGTCCTTGCTGGACCCCAGCAGCCCAAGCTAAGACGCCCTGTGCCCTCCCTGTGCCCTCCCTGTGGCTGACCGGCTCCCAAGAGGAGAACATGAGGGGGATGACCAGTACCACGTCAGTACCATGGTCAGTGCCATCGTCAGGACCGTGGCCAGGCCCTCAGCTGGGCTCTTGGCCAAGACCATGGAGGCAATACAAACCACATGCTCATGGTGCCCTCCAAGGCCCCCAGTGCATGGGTCCTCGCCCATGGCTCTCCCAGGCCTCGCTGCTGGGTCGCCTCTCATGGCTCTTCTCCCTGCTGCCCTTCCGCATGTGCCATGGACACTACAAGTTCAAGTTCATGTACTTTCTGTGTGTCCTGAAGCTTTGTTCTTGGCTTGATTTGTTCTGATCATCTGGGACAGAGAACTCCCGCCGACGTGTGGGGGTGTGGCCTCCCCCAACCTGGAGGTTGAGGAGGAGGGTTCCTCAGAGAAAGCTTTCCCCCAAGAACCTGTCAGCCATGCTGCGTACTGGAGCTGCCCCCGAAGTAGCTAAGTTCCTAGGCAGGGGTGGGTGTAGACTCAATGGACCCCTTGCCATGTGGGTGGGTCACCCAGTGGTCAGGCTGAAAGACAAACGCCCCAGGCACGGCTGCCAGCTGGGCTCTATACTTAGAGAAGGGGGCACCTGGCTGCTGAACGCAATGCCTGGTAGCTGGATCTCTGGCGTGGGCACTCAAGGGCCGCAGACTCGCAGGCTGTTTGTGGGGGCCAGAACATTACTGGGATAACGCTGCTTCGTGTTGGGGTTGGACGTGCAGCTTGGAGACCTCAGTGTGGGGGAGGAAGCCTTGGCTCCTGGACGCTTTGAGGGGCCAAGCTGGCAGAGCAGGTGGCCGTCCATGGGGGTCACATGCTTGGCCCAGTAGGGCACAGCCCCATGTGCTCAGTCGCCCTGTGCCAGCGACGTTTTCACGAAGCCAAATGGAAAGTGGCTCTCTGGTTGCCATGACAACAACCAAGTCCCCAGCGGTGCTGGTGGGAACTGTGCAGGCCATTCCTGCAGAGATAAGGTCCACTTGGTCATGCCCACCTGGAGACAATTTTGAGAACTGAGGAGCAAACCCCACTAACTTCAGCATCCTTGTTGCTGCTGCTTCCTCTGAGAGAACTGTTTCCTCTCACCCCTCCCTTCATCCAATCCCTTACACCCCTCACGCTCACCCCTCCCTTCATAGCCCTGCCCTCAACCCATCTCCATTCTGCTTCCTCTCACTGCACCCCACCCCCTTCCCCTCTCATCCCTCCTTTCACATCCCAGCCTCTCTCACCCCTTCCCTACTCCATCCCTCTCATTGCTCCACCCACATCCCATCCCCCACACCCTTCCAACCACCCCAACCCCCACTCCTCCACCCACACTCTAACTCTCACACAGAAGCCCTTATGGGACCGAGTGCTCTTCTCAGGGCAGGGCTCCTCTTTGGGGAGTGGGGTGATTCTAGAAGGTCCCTCTCAGCTCTACCCACAGGGTTCCAATCGGGTCACCCCTGGGGACATTGCAGCCCTTGCTCCCCCACCCTTCTTCCTATGTCTGATTGGCCACCGTGCAGCAGGCTGATCGAAAGGGCCTGGTGGTCAGGGACCTGGTGCTGCTAGGCCCCGTGCATGGCCAGGATACCTACTGCCCGTGGCCTCTGGCCTGGCTCCTGTCAAGGCTTCTGGAAATGGAGCCAGAGCAATTTTACCAAATTAGATGTGGTTGAGAGTGATTTGTGCCGCCTGACAGTTTTGTTGATTATTTATTCGTGAATTCTGTTCCTGAGTCAGTGTTTTTTCTGGTATTAGAATCTTGGCAACCCAGTGCTGGCTTCCTGATTCTTTGTATCTTGTACGTTTCTTCCTCTTCTTTCAAATGTCTTTGGGCCTAAAAATAATCTCTTTATTTTTGAATTTCTAATATTTCCAGCCAGCTCTTCCAGGAGTTGAAGCAACCTAGAGAACTGACAGGCAGAGTGGGCTGTGGTCACGGGGCCGAGGCTGTGCACCACAGTGAGGAAAAGCAGCTCGTTGTGAGTGTGCGCTAGAGTGGTTGTGTAGGATAGCGTGAGTGTGCGACAGTGTGTGCACAGTGAATATGTGCAGATTGTGAGTGTGTGCAGTGTATAGCAGTGTGAGTGTGCACCACGAGTGTGTGCAGTGAATGCAGGTTGTGAGTGTGCAGTGTGCACAGTGTGTGTTTGCATAGTGTGTGCACAGGGTGTGGGTGTGTAAGAAAGTGTGCACATACATCACGAGCGTGTGTGCACAGTGAGCATGTGTGTACAACAGGGTGTCCATGTGCAGAGTGTGTGAACACAGTGTGTCATGTAGTTGTGCACGTGTGTGCACTGGGAATGTGTGCCCAAGGGCAGGTGTGCAGCACAGTGAGGAAAATCAACATGTGAGTGTGTGTAGGGTGTAGAAGCAGAGGTGGACGTGTGTTCGTGGTCTGGGTTTGAGTGTACCTGCGTGCATGCATTTGTGTGGGAGAGAGTGCACACATCTGGAAGGCACGTGCATGTGTGTATATGTCAATGTCAACATGTGTGTCTCCGTGTATCTCCGTGCACAGGTATTTGTGTGCATATGCCAAGCAGTCTAAAGCTGTGTCAATCACTCCTGGGAAGTCAAGAGGTGGCTTGTGTGCCTGATCTGGCAGCCCAGCTTTGCCATCAGCACTTAGGGCCACGAGCAGGAAACGGGTGCTCAGCATTCCTAGTAGGGACTGCTTTGAGACCTGCCCAGCTTCATCTCGATCACCTGGCAGCTGCTGCTTCTCCATTCGCAGAAAGAAGCAGCAACTCCTGACCTGCAATGGCCACTGCCTGCTACTTCAATCCAGAAAGCAGGTCGTGGGCCCGGCGCGGTGGCGCAAGTGGTTAAGGTCCTAGCCTTGCACGCCCGGGATCCCATATGGGCGCCAGTTCTATCTCGGCAGCCCCGCTTCCATTCCAGCGCCCTGCCTGTGGCCCGGGGAAAGCAGTAGAGGACGGCCCAAGGCTTTGGGACCCTGCACCCACATGGGAGACCCGGAAGAGGCTCCTGGCTTCGGATCGGCATAGCATCGGCCGTTGTGCTCACTTAGGGAGTGAATCATCGGACGGAAGATCTTCCTCTCTGTCTCTCCTCTCTGTATATCCGCCTTTCCAATAAAAAAATAATAAAAATAAATCTTAAAAAAAAAAAAGAAAGCAGGTTGTACAACTGAATTCATCCTGTTGTGGCAAGGGGAGGCAAGGACACCAGGGTATTCTCAATCAAGGGGAGATATCAGTTGTCAGTAGGGCCAACAGGCCTGGCAACTACTGGGTGGCTGCCCAGAAGAACACTGACCACAGGCACAGTGACCCCAGCAACACACTGACCTCAGGGGCACAGTGACCCCAGGAGCACACTGACCCCAGGAGCACACTGACCCTACGCACACACTGACCCCAGGAGCACAGTGACCCTATGCATACACTGACCCCAGGGGCACACTGACCGCGGGGGCACACTGACCCCAGGAGCACACTGACCCCAGGAGTACACTGACCCCAGGAGGACACTGACCCCAGGAGCACACTGACTGCAGGGGCACACTGACCCCAGGAGCACACTGGCCCCAGGGTACACTGACCCCAGGAGCACACTGGCCCCAGGGTACACTGACCCCAGGAGCACACTGACCCCAGGGGCACACTGACCCCAGGGGCACAGTGACCCCAGGAGGACACTCACCCCAGGGTACACTCACCCCAGGAGTACACTGACCCCAGGGGCACAGTGACCCCAGGGGCACCCTGATCCAGGAGCACACACTGACCCCAGGAGCACACACTGAGCCCGGGACTGTACTCATCTCTTTACTTGGTGGGAGTTATTCTCTGGGATAACCCCTCTGGGAGCACACTGACCCCTGGATTACTTTGAACCCTCACCATGGACTACTCTCTGGTGGCTTTTGAAGCCTCTGCCCCCAGCTGGTCCTTCTTCCTAATTCCCCTGGCTCCACTTTGCTGAGGGCCGCACTGCCAGCTCCCTGCTGTTGTCTTTACATCAAATGTCATCCAGAATGTTAGTCTGTGAGGTGCAAACTCTGTCTGGAAAGGTTCTCCCAGAATACCCGGAGCCCCACCTGCTGCAGGCCCCGCTGCCAGCCTCCGGGAACCGCCCCCGTTTGGGCGCTGCCTCAGGGTGGCAGTGGCTGAGCTGTGCCAAGTGTGCCTCAGTGGGGCAAGCTCCCAAAACACCAGGTTTACCCTACCAACAGAAGACATGCTTATCCCACTGAGCATGCATCCTTCCTGGGT